GAGTGAAGAATAGTTTTGGCAAGGGAACAATATTTGAGCTGGGTTTTGAAGGATGAGTGCTTTATTTTTTTGGTACTGGGCATCGAACTCATGGACTGCATGCTTGCCAGGCAGGTGCTTATGCTACTGAGCTAAATCCCTGGCCCTGGATGAGAGTACTTTATAAAGTAGATCTGGGTGGAGAATTGCTTTTGGGTCAGTGATAGTAGCATGAGCAGTTACATACGGGGTAGAAGAATTTGTTGACTTTGAGCAATCATCAGTACCTTTTTGTGGCCACAGCTTGGGGTGCTTGTGAGAAAGCAGCAATAAAGATTAAGCTGGGGAGGTAGTATATTAGAATTTCAGTTAAAATCCTTTATTTTAAAAAATCCTTTATTGCTGAGTGGTGGTTTTGTTTTGTTTAAAGAGGGAAAGATTTATTTAGCTTACAGTCTGTGGAAGTTTCAGTCCATGATCAGCTGGCTCTAAGGCAGGGTGGTATGGCAGAGGGGCAGCTGTTCACGGTGGCAGAAGACAGCAAAAGGGCTCTTGCTGAATGTTCTGAGTTAAATAAAATCGTAAGTTTTAATAGAGAAAAACAAGTATCTGAAATGGCCAGTAAAATTTTGAAAATGAACGATGAGATTAGAGAGGACTTTCTTTCTAGATGTTAAAAAAAAAAAAAATCAATAAAGCCTGAAATGAAACCATTATATCATTGGTATAATTGAACCATAGATTCCAGTATAACTGAGAATTTAATATAGTACAAAATTGGTAGTTCAGTAAGATAAGGTTTTTTTTTTTTAATTTAAAAATAGGGTCTTACTGTATAGTTCAGGGTGCTCTTGAACTCACTACGTAGTCTGAGCTGGCCTCAAACCTGCAGAGATCCTGCTGCCTTAGCTTTCTGAGTGCTGAAAAGGGATGTAATTTTAATAGATTGTAGAACCAATTATGTATTTAGAAGAAAATAAAATGGGAGCTTTCTTATACCATTTGCATGTGTTTATTTCAGATAAATATTAAGTTTAAGTGTGAAAAATGAAATACTTTTTTTGGAGACAGGGTCTTACTATGTAGTTCAGGCTCAAGCTTACTCAAGCTTACTTTGTTGCCTCAAATAATCCTTTTACTTCAGCCTCTTGAGTGTTGGGATGACAGACATGCCTGGCTCAGAATACTTTTTATCTTACAGGAGAATTTAGGACATTCTTTATCCTCATTAGGATTATTGTGTTAGCTTTCCTTTGGTGGGACAGAAATATCTGATATATACAACTGAAAGGAGGGAAGGTTTGTTATGGCTCAGGGTTTCAGAGGTTTCAGTCTATGGGCAGCTGGTTCCAAGGCAGAGGCAATATGTTGGAAAGGCATGGTAGAGGAAAGCTGCTGTCTTCAGGCTGTCTGGGAACAGAGATGGAAAGAGCCAGAAAAAGAGATAACCTTCAAAGGCCTACTCTCAGCAAGCTAATGCCTCTAATCAAGCCCCATCTTTTTATAGCTTATTCACCTATGAACTCATCCATATGTTAAGCCATTAGTAACATTAGTGCCCTCACAGTCCAGCCACCTCAGGCATTTCTTAATTAAGTTGATGATCAAGATTAGCCATTGTAGTTGTGTTTTCTAACTTTTTGATCCATAATATCATCATATATAAAAAATAAAACAAGTTTTAGAGAACATTACTTTTACTTTGTGGGATGCCCTTATTCCATTAAAAATGGATATGTTACCCATTACATTTATTTATTTATTTTATTTTATTTTTTTTGGTACTAGGGATTGAACTCACAACTTCACACTTGCAAGGCAGGCACTTGGGCTGCTGAGCTAAATCCCCAGGCCCTATTTATGTTTGTTTTATAAGTACATATTTGCAATACTTGTCGTTTATAGTTGTTTTTAAGAGTGGTTCATGTACATAATGTAGCTTGGCTGTTTTTAAAAAATCTTCTCAATGGAGGAGAGTGAGAAGAAAAGTGGAATCAAGATATATAATGTACAGGGACAAATTTCCTATGATGGATGTCACATTGTCCTATGATGGATCTTTGTCACATTGTACCAGTAAACTTAATTAAAAAATCCCCTTCCCTCCTGTCTCCCTCCCTTCTCTTCTAAATTCCTTTTTCCCATTTTCATTATTGTTGATACTATTAATCTTACTGTGTTTATGGCACATAATGTTTTCATTCATTGAAGTTATTAGGTTTCTAGGAACCTCATCTCTTTATTGTATTTATTTCCCTTTTCCCTTTCTGTCTCCTATCATGTATATTTTCTTGGACCCCTTCCTATTTGTTAGAGATCTGTCTTGTCTCCTCCTATCCATCCTTTATTATGCTCTTGTTTGTACTTTGTCTTACTCAAATGAGAGATAGTTGTATGATATTTAAACCTATGTGTCTGATTTATTTCACTCAAGATTTTCCTGACACGTCTATTTTCCTACAGATGTCTCAAATTTGTCCTTTTTTTAGCTGAGTAGTACTCCATTATTCCATTCTATGTAGCTACCTTATTTTCTTTTATTTTTAAATTTAATTTAAAATTTTTTGAGACAGGTCTATGTGGTTCAGGCTGTCTTTGAACCCATGTAGCCCAGGCTGGCCTCAAACTGATGGCAGTTTTCCTGCCTTAGCCTTCTGGGTGATAGGATTATAGTTGTGTTGCCACTGTGCCTGGAAATAACATGTTTTCTGTATTCAGTCACCTGTTGATAAGTTATACTCCCAGGATTTAGCTATTGTGAATTGAGCTACTATAAACATTGGTGTGCATGTATTGCTATAGTAGATGTTTTTAACTGCTTGGGGGAATATATCTAGAAAGGAACAGGTAGGTCATAATGGAATTTCTGATATTCATTTGTGGAATCTACATACTGATTTCCATAATGGTTGTACTAGTTCCCACCAACATTGTAGGAGGGTTCCTCTTTCACTGAAGCCATGCCAGCGTTTGTTAGTTTTTGTTTTCTTGATGATTTTTGTTTTTTTTTTTTTTAGTTTAAGGTAGAATCTTAGTATTGTTTTAATTTCCTTTTTTGCTAATGATCAGCAATGTTGAACATTTTTTCATAAATTTGGTAGCTGTTTGCATTTCTTCCTCTGAGAAGTGTCTGTTCAGTTTGATTGTTTCTCGGTTGGGTCTTATGTTTTAGGCGATCAAAATTTTGTGAGCTCTTTGTATATTCTAGGTATTAGTCTTCTGTTTTAGGAATAGCTGGCAAAATTATTTTTTCATTCTGTAGTTTGTCTCTTCATTCTACTAATTGATTCCCCCACACTCAACTTGTGCTTTTGTTTTGTCTTGCTATGTAGACCTATTATGTCTACATAGTAGACTTGCTATGTTGACCTTAAACTTATTATATAGCCAAAGCTGATCTCAGACTTGCAGCAAGCATCCTAGATGCTGGGATTACAGGTGTGCACCACCATGCCCAGCCAGAACTGTTTATTCTAAGAGGTTTTTTTTGTTGTTGTTATTTTTTAAGGATTCTTTGAGTCTTCCACATAGAATGTCATGTTTTCAGAAAATAATGATGATTTGAATTTTTCCTTTCCTGTATGTATCCCTTTTATTTTTTTCTCTTCACTGGTTGATCTGACTAATGTTTTGAGTACTACATTGAATATAAGTGATGATAGGGGGCATCCTTTTCTTGTTGCTGATTTTAGAGGGAATGCTTTTTGTTTTATATGTTTAATATGATGTTGGCTATTTGTCATAAACAGCTTTTATCAAATTCAGGTATGATGGTCCTTCTATACCTATTTTTTCAGAGTTCTTATCATGAAAGGGTGTTAGATTTTATTGAAAGCCCTTTCTGCATGTATTGATATCATGTGGATTTGCTGTTTTTGTGATGTATTACATTTGTTGATTTGGGTGTGTTGAGCCATCTCTGGGATAAAACCTACTTGGTCATGATGTATGATCTTTTTGATGATGAGCTGCATTCTATTTGCTAATCTTGTTGAGGGTTTTTGCATCTGTGCTCGTTAAGGAGATTGGCCTGTGGTTTTCTGTTTTAATTGGGTCTTTATTTGGTTTGGGAATCAGAGATGCTGGCTTCCATGAAGGGACTTGGAAGTACTCTGTCCCTTTCAGTTTTTTTGAAGAGCTTGAGAAATACAGGTTTTTACAATAGAGCTTAGAAACCTCACCATACGATTTTTAAAAAAAATTTTCTTGTTAAGTTGAGCAATTTAATCTTTTTACCAAAGGAAGCATTTTATTACTTCTTTTTGACATATCCTAATTTCTAGTATCACTACTTTTGCACTTAGGGGCCATTATCGAGTAAAATAAGGGTTACTTTAACATAGGCACTGTGATACCATGCCACTTGATCCAACAATTAGGATGTCTTCTAAGTGACCAACAGACGGGTAGTGTATAGACTGTGGGTACACCAAACAAAGGGATGATTCATGGCCCAGGTGGTTGGGCTGGAATGGGGTTGTGCTACTCAAGGTGACACATAATATAATAGTTCTGAATTTTCATTTCTGGAAATTTTTGTTTAATATGTTTGACCTGCAGCAGGTAACTAACTGAAAAGCAAAACCTTGGATAAGAGGGGACAGCAGTACTCAGAAACTTGATTGAAAAATGCGGGTCTTAGTGCAAACACTTTGTTTGCCTTTCCTCCTTTGGACACTCCATTCTCTCTCAGTTTAAATTTTTTTCTCTTCTGTAACCATTGAATGGGGAAAGGTTCTTCATAATATTAGGATTCCATATCTGGTCATTTTAATCCCCTTCACAATGACTGTCCTTCTTGGCTTTACTCCAGGACCTCTGAGGGTTCTTTAGGTAGATCCCTAGCCAGCTGTTGCTTGTCTTATGTAATCTCACCATGAAGCCATTTGGAGGCATTCCTTAAACATTTAGAGATGCTTTTTCTGTTTTCTAGAGGCAGTAGGTTTGTAGTTTTTCTTGTCTTGTCACATAGGATAAATCTGTGTTTTCAGTAGTTTAACCTGTATCTTTTCTCTTTTCAGGTGCCGTTTGGATAGTTCTTTAGTGACACAATGTACTCGGAGTGGAGATCACTGCATTTGGTGATTCAGAATGACCAGGGCCATACCAGTGTGCTGCACAGCTATCCAGAGAGCGTTGGGCGAGAGGTAGCAAATGCAGTGGTCCGTCCTCTTGGGCAGGCATTAGGTACCTCTTCAGGGGCTGGTAATGAGAGTTTGTTAAAAACTGACAAAGAAGTAAGTGTTCTTTAATTTACTCTGTTATGTAAGCATAAGAATTTGTTATTGAATTATTTAATATTCTTTCTTAATTGATTTCCACATGTCGTAGTGTTATTTCTAAGTTTTTATCTCATTTGGGTTCAGAGCTAGGTCTTAGAGTTTGTGGGTGTTATTAGTCTTACCTTTTTGCTGCCAAGACTACTTATTAGTCATGCCTAATTCTCCACTTGAGCTAAGTGCCCTAAACAAAGACTTGAACCAAATCCTTTCTTCTAAGCTGTAGGTTGTCTTCTGATTCCTTATGGGGGTGTGTTTGGAAGCCCTCATTCTTGCTCCTAGATAGCCCCAACAGAAGCACATCTTACATCAAGTTTTAAGGCTACACATGTGCTGAGCTTGAATGTTTACATATTCCCATTCCTTCCTACCCTTGCCTGACTTCCATGTTTAAGGGTATCACAGAGCATGTAGGCCCGTCTGGTTGTAAGTTGAAGTGCTTGGAATTGGAGTTGTAGTTGCTGTTCCTAAAAATAAGGAGCTTTTGAAGTGTTCATTTTGGAACTGGTCCTCTTTCTTGGGCTCAGGAGGTTCAGGAGCTATGTATGAATCAGTGATGGGCCAAATTACTTAAACTTGCCAAGCTTCAGTTTTCTTATGTATAAAATGAGGCTAGTTTATAGTTATCAGGTTTATAGGGTTATTATGATGGTTAGGTAATATTTATGAAAGTGGGTTATAAACTGCAAGGACTATGTATCATCTCTTCATAGTAACCCCATTAAAAAAGCAATGAAGCTTGTCTAGCATGACTTCATCTTTTCAAGCAAGTTGCATAGAATGGATTTTCACTTCCCTTTTGACACATTCACTAACACTGCTCAGTTGTTCATCTCAAAGTTTTGTCTGATATTCACTTAAACTTTCTCATCACCAGTGACTAGAATGTAGTTTCATCTTCTTTTTCAAAGAGAGATATTTTTCCTTTTTCATAGCACCTTGTCCATTCTGTGATTCCACATAGTGGTTCAGCAGTGTCTTGCTCTATTTCTCTTTGACCTTAGTAGGTGATTCAGGTGGTTTAAAAGTCTGGACCTTGTTTAGCACAGCTAAGTGCCTTATTAAGATGTTACCCAACTTTGGACCCTTCTCATCTGTGTATGTTCCCTCCTATCCACTTTTAAGTAATATTCTTGGCAGAAAAAACAGTTGTAAAATAATAAGAACTGAACAGTTAATCTTTTTTCCTATCATTTGTTCCTATTGTGTAATTTGGAGATGGAATATAATTGAATTTATATATCTGATCTCGTAAGTGATACACATTCCTGTATGCAAATGGATGGAGAAAAAAATCTGCAGTTTTCTATTTTTGTATTTCTAATTTGTATGAAAAAATTGAAATGCCCTTTTATTTCAGAGTGAGTGGTAATGATGTCTAAAGGACAAAAACGAACACTGTAAAAATAAGTAATTTATTTTTTTCTATTCTCTTTTGCTTGGGAAATGTTGCATATATACCTGCCACATGAAAAGTGCATCTTTTGGAATAAACCTGATACATCTTTTGACATGAATATATTGTCTTTCAGTTTAGAGGTTTTTGGCAGTAAAAGATGTTAACATTTTAAATTAGTCTATTGAGATTTAGATGGCAATATATAATAATTTCATATGGATTTTTTGTTTGTTTAGGTAAAATGGACAATGGAAGTAATTTGCTATGGACTGACCCTTCCATTGGATGGAGAAACTGTAAAATATTGTGTTGATGTATATACAGACTGGATTATGGCTTTAGTGTTGCCGAAAGATTCTATCCCTTTGCCAGTTATTAAAGAACCTAATCTTTATGTTCAAAGTATACTAAAACATCTGCAAAATCTTTTTGTACCAAGGTAAATTACACATGTCTGTTTAGCCTGTTACTAGGATAATAAAAATTTTATGTTATTTTATTACATATAGGCACTATTTCATTGCCAGTCCTTTGAACAGTATCATTCAGTTAGAGTCTATTAATATGAATAAGAGAGATGAGCTTGTATAATATTTTCCAGTAATTTTTAATACTTGTGTGTTCATTTTACAGACTTTTGGCTTTGCTTCTAAGATCTGATTGCTATTAGGTATTAAAATATGATATCTTTCACTTTTGTTTAAAAAAAAAATCACACTTTTGCCCATCATAATTCTCCGCTTATGGTAAAGGCAACTAAACCTTTTACTTTAAGATGACTCTTTTCTTTGAGAGAATGATGATATACAAATTAGAAAACTTAAACCAGGTGTGGTAGTGCACACTTGTAATCCCAGCACTCTGGGAGCCTGAGGCAGGAGAATCACAAATTTGAGCTCCATCTAGCAATGTAGCATGATTTTTTTTTTAATCAGTACCAGAGATTGAACCATGACCGTCTGCTTGCAAGGCAGGTGCTTCTGCTGCTGAGCTAAATCCCCAGCTTCCTACAGCATGATCTTGTCTCAAAATGAAAATATAAAAGGGATGAGATGTAGCTGGGTGTAAAGGCCTTGTGTTCAGTCTGCAGTACACCATGCATATGAACACACACAAACAAACACAGAAGGGAGAAAAAACTTGAATTCATTATGAGGAAATTTATGGTGGACCAAAATATTACTCTTGAAAGTTTGTTACTAATTTTTTCCCCATCTTCTGAGGTAAAAGCTTTAAGTATTTTAGTGTGGGTCATCTACCTTACTTGTACCAAAATGTCCTTTCTGATTATGAAAGAATATCCTGGGCTAGGGCTGTAGCTTGATAGTAGAATGTTTAGGTAGCATGCTCAAGGCCCTGACTCTCATCCCCAAAGTCACCCCTCCCAAAGAATAATATATCCTTGTAATAAATTTTGGAGCCAGATGTGGTGACACACCTGAGCACTTTGGGAGTCTTAGGCAGGATTGCTGTGAATTTGAGGCCAGCCTGAGGTACATAGTGAGTTCCAGGTCACCCTGAACTACATAGCCTGAAGTACTACCTTGTCTCAAAAAAATCCCCCAAACCAACCAAATAATAAATGAAGTTTGAGAAATATAGATAAATATAGAAATATAGATAAGAGTGCAGAAGAAGACATTAGTTTCCTGCCTATTCATGAATATCTAGTTTTTAGCTGTGTGTTAATGGCTGTGAAAAAAAGTTGATGAACTTTTCTCCTTTTGAAAAAAATCTGAGCAGAGCTTTTGATCTGTCAGATAGTTAAGGATTTTGAATTATTCAAAAACCACTCTCTTAAACTGTAACTCTTAACTTTAGAAGGAACTTTTCTTTGGGAAACCTAAGTTAAAAAAGCAAAGTCTCCCTTAAGAGCTTTGGTCTGTGGGATCAGCTCTAAACTCCTTTGTGCACACAAAATGCCAAGTGTAATCTGGCTCCTAAGCAGATTAGCTGCTGCTAATTCTCTGTGAGCCTTGCTCTTTAGTCAGACTCAAACTAAGCATTGTGTAAGACTTATTAGAGATCTTTCCCATCATCATCCCCTTTATTTTCTTTTTCACTCTATTGTGTAGATGGCTACAGCTCACTTTTATTGGTTCATCATAAGTTCTGCCTAGGTCCTTGTTAACCACACCTTCTCTGAACCTGTATCACTCTTTGTAGTACTGGGAACTGAACCCAGGAATCTCTACGCTACATCTCCAGCCACCTCTCTCATCTTTTGGAGACAGAGTCACTTAAGTTGCCCAGGTGGGCTTGAACTGCTGTCCTTCTGCCTCAGTGTCACGTCAGGCTTTACTTTTTTTGTTTTTCTTTTAAGAAGCGTACTTACTTTATAAGTTGTTTTGCTATTTGACTATTAGCTTGCTTTTTTCAAAAGTATGTATGCATGAAGGTTAATAAATTTTGAAAGGGTTCTTCGGCCAGTGATGGTACCTAGAGGTTAGCTGAATTTTCTTTTTTTTTTTTTTGCTAGCGGTTAAATAAATCCAGGGCCTTCCCACTGATCTATATCCCCAGCCTTCTCTCTTTTAAAAAGCATTTTTTGAGACAGAGTCATCCACCTTGGGTTTGAATTTGTGATCATCCTGCCTTAGCCTCCGAATGCTGAGTTTGTAAGCATGTACCACTATGCCTGGCAAGCTGAATATTTTCAGTGCTATTAGGAGTTATCATCTAATTTACTGTTATCAGATCTTACAGTTTTTGATTCTGAGTGTTTGTCAAATTGTCATCTAAATTTACTTAACTAGTTACTTTTATATAAACTGATTCAGGAATCTGCCTTTTCCAGTTTTCTAGAAATTAAATCAGAGTGAGTATAATTTTCTTTTTGCCCATCATTTAAAATTTTTTTTCCTAAATAAAGAGTGAACAATCTTCTAAAATTGATTTTTAATTGCTCAAATATACTGTGTATATGTATTTGAAGAAATAATGTTGTTCTAAAGCAATGGTCAGCAAACTTTTTGTAAAGAACTAGATAGTAAATATTTTCAGCTTTGCAAGCCATATGGTATTATAACTACTCAATTCTGCTAGTGTAGCAGGAAAGCAGACATAGGCTACATAAATGAAGAACATAGATGTGCACCAATAGAACTTCACTTACAAGAGCAGGTGGTCATTTAGATTTTACCTAATGGCCATAATTCTCTGGTGCTTGTCCCAAAGAGGTTTTTCTGAAGGCCACAGTTCCCTTTGAGATTGTTGGAGGGAGAGGATAAGGCTCGATAAGGTTTGGGGCTATTATGTAATTTTTCTATTCTTCCTCAAGCCAGGGCAACAAACCTGAACCTGAGCCTTGTGGCTTTACATGGGCTGGGTTCACCTCCAGTGGAATGTGGGGCATCTCCTGTTCTTTGGCATTCTTGGTTTTTCTGAGGTGATTGTCTCATCATCATTTGGCTTTAGGTCTGACTTCTCTAGCTAAAGTTCAATAGTTTTGATTACAACGCCAAAATAAGTGCAGGTTTCTGGATCATAGCCCAGAACCTGGGAATCTGTATTGTAAGTTGGGGTGAAAGTTCTGAAGTTACTCCCTTTAGTTTTCAGAATTTGTTGAGGAAATTCTCTACTGTGATCCAGACATGTTTCTACCAGTTCTTTGCAATAAGTCATAATATACAGAACCTCAGCCTCAAGGTTTATTTTAGTAATATGGATACTATCTTGGGTTTTACATGAGCAGCTTAAAGGGCAGCAGCATTTACTACTAATACAGTGTTCTCTGCTATTCTTGACATTCTTTTTTTTTTTTTTTTTTGTCTTTTTCCTTTTTATTGGTACCAGGGATCGAACTCACGACTGCCTGCTTGCAAGGCAGGAGCTTATGCCGCTGAGCTAAATCCCCAGCCCCTTATTCTTGACATTCTTAAGTGGTCCACCTTGGGAAGTAGAGTGAGGGCAGGGATTTGAATGTTCCTTTCTATCTAGACATGATACTTTGCTTTATTTTATAGATTGGCTTTCTTCCTTTGGAAAAATGTATATAGTCTTGCAGAATTAAAGAGAGTTTTAAAATTATAGCTCTAGTGTATCTTGGGAACCTCTGATGTCCCCATTTTTTTTTTTTTTTTAATTAGAGCAGCAGCAGCAGGTGCTCATTTATGTAGCAGTATTTCCTTAACTTCTCATCAATCAGGTCCCTCCGGCTCTTCCCTAGCAGACATTAGCTTTGGCAGGACTCTGGACACTTTCAAATCACATACAGAATTCCTGTGAATGTGTGTTTTAAAAAATTAAGATGGAGGGGCCTTTCTGCTTTAGTGTGAGCAGCAGGAATGATTGTGGATACTCATTCATTCAGCACAAACCCAGTGAGTGTCTGTTATTATGGGCCAAGCATGTTTTAGGCATAGAAATCCAGTGGTGAAATTTATGTTTTAGTGTTCTCCCTTCCTACCAGAAGCTGAGTTCTCATAAGAGTGGTCGGTTAAGATCCCAGAGTACATAATAGGGAACAAGCTGAGAAAGGTGTGCTCAGCTGCCAGTTGATGCTTCTAGGGCGCTTTATTGGACCACTGTGTGTTGCATCTGTAAGTTGTCTGTTCTTTGGCTGTTGCTCTTTCAGCCTTATCAGTGATATCTGTCTGTCTTCTTCAGACAGGAGCAGGGCTCCAGCCAGATCCGACTCTGCTTACAGGTCCTGAGAACCATTCAGAAACTGGCTCGTGAGTCATCCATCATGGCCCGAGAAACCTGGGAAGTCTTATTATTGTTTCTTCTGCAGATAAATGATATACTTCTGGCCCCGCCAACTATTCAAGGTTTGTTTATTTATTTTTTCTTACTTGTTTCCAAGCTCCAGGTACAGTTCATGTTTAAACTCAATGAGCAATAGACTTGTTGGGGTTTAAATTTTGACATGACAGTTGACCAATTAAGACTAACAGTTTGTAGAACAGGAACCTCAAGTGTAGTGCAGTGTGGCTAAGGAGATTATTTTGCCCTCAGTGGTAATTTTGCAAATGTAGAGAAGGACACAGAGAATTATGCATATTTGATAAGCATTAGAATCTGGCTTGTTTAGGGTTTTAGGATGGAGCTTATATATCTATATATAAGAAACAATAAAATTTTTAAATTAGAGCCTATGGATAATGTATGTGATGACAAAGTGGTTAGTAGAGTCTGCAAACTTGACAGTGACAGAAGACAACGTTGCTAAGCAAATAAAACCTCCAGAATCTTAAAGTATGTTATTTGGAAGTATAACAGTATGCTATTCATTATCCATTTTATTTTATTATTTATTAGCCATTTTAAAAGCCTACTACAGTTTTATAAAATTTCATAGTGTATTTTAGAAGCTTTGCTTTGTATGTGTAAACATGGTATACATAAACTGAAATTGGTGTTGTAGTTCAGATATTTTAGCTGTTGCTTATTTATCTGTGCTCTTTACGGACACATACAGATTGATGTGCTGATGTTGTCACAGAGTTGTAGTGTCTAGGGAAATATCTGAAAGGAATCATGAGTTTGTTATGGCTTGGATCTAGATGTTCCCCCAAAGTCTTATGCCATCATAGGTAGGGCTTTTCAGAGATGCTGGATCTAGAGTGTGTGAAGCTAGGATTAAGGGTGTGTGATTACTAAGTTGGTTCACTCATTGTTTTGGCATAGTTCTGGATGTGGGTAATGGGAAGGCCCACCCTGGGTTTGAGTCCTACACAGCCTAAGCGCTTATACCCCGGATAGACTATAAGGGACAGAAGGAGGACTTGGTTGCTACTTCACTTGCTGCTTTGCTACTTTGCTGCTTGCTGTCTTTCTGCCTTTTGGCTGCCATGAACTGTTTTTTCCCCTGGGGTGCCAAGTCTCCTTGCCTTGGAGTCAGCCAACTAAGATGTGAAACCTCTATAAGCTGTAAGCTAAATAAACTTTTCTTCCTTTAACTTGAAGTGTCAGATATTTTGTCTCACCATTGAGAAGTAACTGAGAGAATTTTAGTGTGGAAAGGAATGCCAGGATAGTATTGATGATAGTTGGGCAGTCGTTATCTCAACAGCTCTTGGCCATTCACTTCTCATACCAGTGTCTCTGCAGCACAAAGCAGGCAGTTTGTTACCTTCTTGGCCTCTGTTGTTGGAGTTTTGGTTCTGCTCATTTGAAATATGCATCCTTTTTACTCTATTAGTCTTAATTTTGCCTTCAGGAGCATTATAGAATAAAGTCCACTGCTATTGTTGCTTCTGGTTCTGGCACTTAGAACAGAGGAACAACTTTTTTAAGGCACTCTTGTAGCCAGCACCAGGCCTTCTTCTTTTTCTTTCTTTTTTTTCTTCTCTTTAAGATTATCTTTCAGGCCGGGGATTTAGCTCAGCAGTGTAAGTGCCTGCTTGGGAAACTCGAGGTTGTGAGTTCAATCCCTGACACCAAAAAACCCCAAAAGATTATCTTTCAAATGCATGAGGCATTTTATGGCAAACTTTGGAGCTAGCAAGACCTGGGTATTTGTTCTGATTCCTTTCTTTATTGGCTGCATGAATTTGGATAAGTTACTTAACCTCCCTGAACCAAAGTTTTCTCATCTTCAAAATGATGTATTTAATATTGATAATATATTAGAAGCATCTATTCTGTAAAAATAATGGGGAGAATTATGTGTGGTCATGTATATGAATGCCTTCACATAGAAACTAATAGGTATACTTGGGTTCCCCTTGTTAGAAGGTAAGATTGTCATTAAGAACCAGCAGGGCAGTTTGAACACTCAAAATAATTTGTTGATGTTGTCTCTGATTTCCTTTATAAGCATACCTGATAATTAATTTTCATTTTTATTACTGAATATTTATTTGAAAATCAGTACTTAACATTTTAATTTTTGACTAGTTTTTCCAAATTAGTGAATTAAAGATTCTTTTCTTTCATTGGTCAGGTGGCATTGCTGAGAATTTAGCAGAGAAATTGATTGGTGTTCTCTTTGAGGTTTGGTTACTAGCTTGTACTCGGTGCTTCCCAACACCTCCTTATTGGAAGACAGCCAAGGAGATGGTGGCTAACTGGAGGCACCACCCAGCAGTAGTGGAGCAGTGGAGCAAAGTCATCTGTGCACTCACTTCCAGGTATGTGATTGTCTTCATAATCTTAGGCAGCTTTTTCTTGATGCTGTGACTTCTGAGTTTCATGGAGTACGTTGTGAAAAGCATGGATCTCTCACCACTGTACTTTAGTCATACAATTGAACCACTTTAACAAAATAGGTATAGCAGTTTGGCTAATGACTGTCAAATCTAAAAGCTTTCAGAATAATCAAGTATTTTTGAAAAGTGGATACATTTTATACACTATTTTCTCCCCACATCCTACTCATAATTTTAATTATAAAATTATGTATGATCATTATTTTAAAGGAAAAACCATAGAAAGATATAATGAGTTTTTTGTTTTATTTTGTTTTTAGCAGATATTGTATTCATATATATTTATATATAATTTTATAGCTGGGGACATAGTTTAGTGTCACAGTGCCTGTCTGGCAAGTGCAAGATTCTGAGTTCAGTTCCTGGTACCAAACAAGAAAAAAGAAAAAAAATATATATAATTTTACATAAGTAGGATATACTTATGTATAAAGTATAGTATAGTGTAAGAATATAGGGTATACTTTAGTATGTCTAAAGTAGGTGGTTTTTTTTTTTAAGAGAAAATATGGAATACTTCTTGAATTTGTGAGTCATCCTTGCACAAGGGCTATGCTAATCTTTTCTGTATTGTTCCATTTTTAGTGCCAAAATGAGTACAGAAGGCAGTTTTTAATAATTTTGCTTTTTTTAAATTTATATGTGTAAAACCATTCTGTGAATAAACTCAGGTTTCATTTTTCATACTTTATTTTTTCATTTCAACTGTACATAATTTATAACCTGAAAAGACAAGGATTCTTTTAAAAACGTAATTGCAATATCATTACAATTCTTTAATACCAGATAATCATTGTTCACATTTCCCTGTACATGTTTTTCTTTATAGTTGATTCCATTGAATAAGAAAGCAGTGTTCAGAAATTGCATTTGTACACTTTTATGGTGGTGGGGATTGAACCATGGCCTTTGTACTGGGCTGTAATACTGATTCTTTACTATTTTTTTATTTTGACATGGTCTTGCTGTGTTGCCCAGACTGGGTTTAACTTTCAGTCCTTCTGCTTCAGCCTCCCAAAGTGCTGGGATTATGGGCGTGCTCCATTATGCCTGGCTACTCAATGTGTTTTTTTAAAAGTCTGCTTTAAACTATAGAGTCTCATTCTTATTTTTGATTTTTAAAAAAAATTTTTTTTGAAGAAATGAGATTGTTTTTTCCCACTCTTTTCCCCTCAATACTTGGATAATTGACCCAGGGTTTCATGTGTACAATTAAACACTCTATTACTGAGCTCCATGCTTCATGCTTTTTATTTTAAAAACTAGCCCAAACTTGTGATTTTCCTCCTTCAACAAGTAAGAGCAAATAGTTGTTCTTTTTTTTTTCCTAAACATTGATCAGAACAATCAATACATTACTTTTTATTTTTAGTTTTTATTTTTGGTACCGCGGATGGAACTCACAACTTTTATGTTTGCCAAAAAGGCACTTACACTGCTTGAGCTAAACCTTCCCAGTCCCCCAGTAGTTGTTCTTATAGGTTGTATTCCACCATATCTGACTTGTGTTGTGTTATTGAGTATTTCAGATTCTGAATTTTTCCAGTTACGTTGTATGTTGTTCACATGTTTCCTATCCTGTTTTTCTTGATATCTGGTAGAGGTAGAGACTTGCTCTGACATAGGTTTGATTAGGGGCAGGAGGAAGGTATAGTGCGATCAAGTACTTTGTAGGGAGACTTATGTATGAGAGAATAGACTGGTCTGAGCTAATAAGTGTTAGATCTTCAAGATGAGATAGATATGTGTACCAGTTCTCCATCATACAATAATTTAATATGTATTGCAAACATACTAATAAGTAAAATGAAATGTTAGATCTTTGTCATTTAAACTAAAAGGTGAAGTTTTGGAATATTTTTACTCTGGTATATATAAGAATATACAGGGGAATATAAGTGTTTTGAATCTACTTTTAAGGAATACTATTGTTTTGATTGTAAAAGCAGTGCAAACTTAGAAAATTTGAAAGATGTAGGGGAAAAGAGCTGTTATTTACAGATAATCAGTATTAACATTTTAATGGTTTTTTCATGTAGTTCCTTTTCTTAAACCAATTTGAAATTATTCTAAACTCTATTGTCTCCCTTTTTCATCTGATGTCTGCTCTTTTTTTTTTTTTTTTTTTTTTTTTTGTCTTTTTTGAGACAAGGTCTCGCACTCTGCAGTTCAGCTGGCCTTGAGCTCACTTTGTGGCCCAGGCTGGTCTCGAACGCGCAGCGATCCTCCTGCCTCAGCCTTCCGAGTGCTGGGATTACAGGCATGAGTCACCACGCCCGGCTGATGTCTGTTCTTGTCACTTTAATTACCTGTTGTTTTTTTATTTTTTATTTTATTTATTTATTTTTTGGTTTTTTGAAACAAGGTCTTGTTACACAGTTCAGGCTGGTCTCGAATTTATGGTGATCCTCCTGCCTTAGTCTTCCACGTGCTGGGATTACAGGCACGTACCACCACACCCAGCTAACTTTTATTTTTAAATAATTCTTGAGATTGTACTTTAATGATTTTGTAATCTTTCATTATATAATTGAATTTATAATTAATAATTTTTCTTGAGGTTTTTATAAGTATGTTATTCCCAGTGTTTACTTCAGAAGCTAACGATATAAATACTTTATATAGCATTTGTATATGATTATTAAGGTATCATACCTAGATATAAAATATTTGAGTCAAAAGGCTTTAAAGAGTTTCACTTGTTTTTTTTTTGACACAGGTTCTCGCTGTGTAGTTCAGATTGGCTTCACACTTGTAGTGATCTTCCTACCTTGGCCTACTGAGTGCTGGGATTACAGGCGTGTGCCATCATAGTTGGCCAATATATTTAGAATATTACTGTTAAGTTTTTGAGTTAATTTTATGGTATAGTATAAAAATGTACTATATTCTAATTTTTAAATACTGTTTTCTAAACTTCACATAAAGTTATTAAGTAAAATACAGTTGTGATAGATTTGCAGTGAAGTGAATCTTAAAAATAATTTGTTATAATTTTATTATATGGTTATTTAACCATTTAATATAATTTGTATTATATAAATGACAGTCTGTTGCATGTAATACACAATATGAATACTGAATATTTAAAATATGTTTCAAAAACATACTGTAACTTTCCTCACAATACCTCACCCTGCTTTCTCCATAGTGTTATCTTGTTTTTTCTTTTTTACTCAGCCCAAGCTGCTCTGCAGAGCCATTTTCTCTCATATGCCTCACTTCTACCTCTTTAAACAAACACTGAAAAAAAATCTTTTGAACAACTAGGTGAAGTGGTACACCTCTGTAATCCTAGCACTCAGGAGGCTAACACAGGAAAATTACTTCAAAAGACCAGCCTAGAGTATATAGTGAAACCCTGTCTTCAAACAAAAACAGCAAAAAAGTCTTTTGAACAACAGGAAATTCCTTTCAGTTTGTCTGTTTTATAAGCTAGGATTTTTGTATCCTTTTTTTATTTAAGCAAGGTACATATGTTTCATCTGTTTTTTTCTAGGTTTTCATGTTTGAATATATTTTTAATTCAGATAAAAAATAGACAATATTATGAATTTTTTATTTTCTAGATTGCTACGCTTTACATATGGTCCTTCATTTCCTCCATTTAAAGTTCCTGATGAAGATGCCAGTCTAATCCCTCCAGAAATGGATAATGAGTGTGTTGCACAGACATGGTTTCGATTTTTACATATGTTAAGGTATTGTTGGTTTGTTATTTCATTAGCTTTTGATCTAGTAAATTTCTTAGGGCAGGAACTCTCTTGTTATCAGAGTGTAGGTGCTAATCACAGTCCATCAGTGCAGGCATATTGAACAAGAGGCCCATCTACATCACATCTCTCCTACTGTCCCTATCCCAGTAGTCATACACTGTCCTTAGCTGCCCTTAATTTATATTCTCTAGGAGTTCATTCTCTGTGGTAGATGCAGCATTTGTGCTGTTGCTGTTGCTGCAGCCTGAATGGTATGTCTCCTGAGACTTCGTCACATTCTATGGGGACTAGAGACTGCCTCATTCTTCCTGTATCTAGCAGTAGTCAATTTGGCTTCCAGGATTATTTTCTAGTAGCTCTGTTGTTTAAAATTTCATTGAGAAGTGAAATACACCTTAATATTTTAAGAGGGCTAAACCCCTACTTCCTCTATGTCTGTATAGAAATTCTTTGGTTTAGTTCCATCACTTCCTACCTACCACTCTTACTCTTGTCTTCTGTGGAACTGTTACTCTTTTGGTAAGTGTCTCATAAACTTTTTCCTTTTGTATTCCCCTCCTGGCTGTACTATCTTTGTTTTTCTGTTGTGTGTTAGTGATTTTAAACTACTCTGCATGACCTTTCTATAAATTAGAGATGTGAGTCATTTTCTGTTATTTCTTTTTCTACTTCATAGTTGTATTTTTCAGTTTTCAGTGATTTTTGATGTTTTTGATTTTTTTCCTTGAGACGGGTACTTGCTATGTAGTCCAGACTGAACTCACTATGTAGCTTAGGCTGGCCTTGAATTTGTGGTGATCCTCCTGCTTCAGCTCCTGAGTGCTGGAATTATAAGCATGTACCACTATTCCTGGCAATGATTTTTGATTTTTGAATGTCTTTCCTTTGATTATTTCTCTTTTAAAATTAGAAAGTCTTTTCTGTGTTCTTTGATCAGATAGCTATGTTTTTTTTCTAATACTGTTTCCTTTGAGATATTAGATTCCTTTGTATATAACAGTATCTGTTTTTGGGTCACATGTTACTCCATTAATCTCTTTATTTATTCTTATACCAGATTCACAGTTTTAATTAACTTTTTTTTTTTGGTACCGGGGATCAAACTCATGACCTTGCACTTACCAGGCAGGCACTTAAGCCACTGAGCTAAATCCCCAGCCCCTAGTTTTAATTAACTATATAATATTTACTGCTGTTTACTTTTTTGTTTGTTTGTTTTTGTTTTTGTTTTTCTGAGACAGGGTATCATTATGCCCCTCCAGACGGCTTTGTTGTCCAGGTTGGCTTCATAGTTGTGGAAATCCTCCTCCTTTAGCCTCCTGAGTGCTGAGATTACAAGCATGTGCCACATGCCTGGCCAGTATTTACTGACACTTAGTAGACTTAGAATTTTTTTTCTTTTTTTTTACAATATTTATCTATTGCCTGATGAACATTTGAGATGAATCAGTTTGTCAAGTTAGAAAATACAATTGGCTCTATGAATCTGTGAACTCATATGTATATATTCAACTAACCAGTGATTGAAAATAATTTGAAAAAAAATTTACATGTGTACTGAGTTTATGCAGACTTTTTTTTCCTAGTTATTATTCCCTTAACAATACAGTATAACCTGATGGTCACATTCTTGTAATCCCAGCACTTGGGAGGCTGAGGCAAGACAGTCACCAGTAGTTCGAAGCCACCCTTGTCTACATAGTGAGATTAAGGCCAACCTGAACTATACTATGCATAGCAAGCATAAGCTGTGCATAGCAAGACCATGTTTCTACCTCTTATCCCCAAATAACAGTATAACAACTACCTACAGAGCATCACGTTGTATTAGATATTACAGATAGTTCAAAAATGATTTAAAGTACAAAAAAAAAAAAAAAGAAATGAAAAACAAAAAGATAGTTTAAACTATACAAGAGAGTGTATACAGGTTATATATAAATGCTACACTTTTTAACAGAAGATTAAGCATCCACAGATTTTTGGTATCTGGGGAACGGGGATCCTAGAACCAATTCCCTGGTGATACCAAGGCATCAATGTATATACAAACAGAATACCCTCAGAATGTCTTTTGGGGTTTGGATTGTGTATTAATAAGGTAAGGAAAATGTCCTGCTTCAGCCACTGAACTCAGAATTCATGAAGTTGGGGTAGCAGAGGTCTTTGCTCACGTCATTGTTCAGGGACCTAGACTAGTGAGGCTCTGCTATTTTTAAAACCTGCCTCCTAGTGGAGGCATTATAATGCTTCAGACAGCTTTGTTGTCCAGCTTTGTTGTCCTCCTCTGTTAGCATTATAAGGTGGAGCTTCTGTATCTGGCTAGTAGTTGGAAAAGAGAGCAAGAAAATTGTGTGGCTGGACTTGAAGTGATGTGAACATTCCATTGGCCAGAACACATGCCGTATTTAATTGAAAGAGAACACAGGAAAAAGAGAAGCTGTGAATAGCTAGTTTATCTTCATGGAAACTTGATACCATGTTATATTTAGTCTACTTTTCTAATGCATGTGTTTTTATTTTTTCAGAATCTGTTAAAAACTTTCTGTTTTTTAAATTACTGTATGTCTTAGTTACTTTTCTCGTTGATGAGACAAAATACACAATACCTTCAGTAAAGGAGGAAAGGTTTATTTGACTCTCAGTTTGTAGAGAGTTAGTGTATAATTGGCTGGCTCCAAGGTAGTGTGACATGGCAGAGTGGATAGGAGGCACCAGAAGACAAACAAGCAGGTGAAACAAGCAGGAGCAGCAAGCAACAGCAGCAACCCTCTTTGTATCCTTTGTATTCCATGCTGGCTGTCTGCCTTTAGAGTGGATAACATTCACACCCAGGGTGAGGCAGTTTTAATCCCAGCATTGCACACTTAATCCTAGCATCACTTGCTCTAGATCCAGCCACATCCAAAAGTCATGCCTACAACTGTATTAGGTTTGTGTGTGGGGCGGATCTAGATCCAGGCAATAACACTGGGTATTCAACCCAGGGCTTTGGGTGTGAACGCGATCACCAAGGTGTGCCCTCCACTCTCCTTTTTAGAATCTTATGTATAGTTTTTTTTTGGTGGGTGGGTACCAGGGATCAAACTGATGACCTCACGCTTGCCAGGCAGGTACTTATGCCACTGAGTTAAAGCCCTGGCCTGTGTCTTTTGTTTAATTTTTAGAAATGGGGTCTCACTTTATAATTCAGGCTGGCCTTGAACTCAGTATGTTGCTCAGGCTGACAATCCTGCTAGTTCCTGAGAGCTAGGATTCCAGGCTTGGGACACCATTCTTGGCTTGGGATATTAAGTATTTATAAAAGTGTTTGTAGCCTTCTTCCTTCACATAGATTTGCATATTTCCTTTATTACTGATTTTGTGAAATTTTTTATGCTATTATGTCTTCTAGATGGCTAGTGCTGCTGTACAGAACATTTTTGTTTTTGTATATCATGTGACCATTTAAAAGTGCTATGGTATCTTCTAGTTGGCTAACAGTTCATACTAGAGCTTTTGGTACTTAATGCAAAGTATTTTGGATATGATAAGTCCTGGATATTCAAGTTCTACTATGTTTTCCTTTGTGAACTTGATTGAATAATTTAGTCTCTCTGTGCCTTTTTAATTTGCAAAATAGGGATAATGTAGTATCCATCTTGTTAGAATTGAAAAGAAAAAGGCATGTAAAATAGTGTGATGCCTCATACATGATAGCTTGAAAATTATTTTTTTATATTTTCCTGTGCTTGGCAGATCTAGTAGAACATTGTTGAATTAAAAGGATAACTGTTTCGGTGCTTTCTTTCTAATTTTTATTGGAAGGCCTCTAATGTATGGAATTAAGTAGGATGTTCATTGTTGATATTAGATATTCATTTTTTATGTGTCTGGTTTCCTAAGCAATGTAAAAAAATTTAAATATAAATAAATTCAAGAAGTAATGAAATTTTTCCAGATTATGTTTTGGGATCCATTTTAGCAATTAAATGATTTTTCCTCTTTGACCTGTGTTTTGTTTTGGTACTGGGAATCAAACTCAGGACCTTGCACTTGCCAGGCAGGCATTTATGCCACTGAGCTATAGCCTTGGTCCTTGACCTGTTGATATATTAATTTTCCAATGTTGAGCCATCCTTCCTTCTTGAGAAAAAAGTTCTCCTTGGTTATGGAATGCTGTTCTTTCAATATTTTTCTGAATTGTCTGCCATTCAAAAATTTTTTAAGAAAATTTTTTTTGGTTTTTTTGAGAGGATTTTGCTATATAGTTCAGGCTGGCCTTACTATATAGCCAGGCTGGCTTCGGACTCAAAGTGATCCTCCTGCTTCAGCCCCCCAAGTGTTGAGATTACAGGCATGTATCACCACACTCCGCATGAATTATCTGTAATTCTGTATTTACTAGCCTGTATTTTGGTAACATAAAAAAATAGCAGTTTCATATTCTCTATCTCTTCTCTTTTTTTTGCAGCTTTTTTAGTTTTTATTGAACATATTGCAAAACGAGGTTTAGTCAAAAAGACCAAAGCCCATGTCATTGTTAGACTCCTCAGATTCTTCTTTCTTTGCTTCTACCATTTATTCCCCAGCTGGGACAGCAGTGATGGAGGGGGCAGGGCCACCAGCCCCTACAATATTGCAGATGATGCCCCCAATGTGAATAATGACCATGGCCTTTGCAAACAAGCTGGGCCAAAAAGGTTCAACGTTGACACCAGTCACTTTAATGAGGGCATTGATTTTATCATCCGTGATGGTTACTTTGTCATTTTGCAGGATAAAGGTGAAGCTCAGATACAGCCGAGCTCAGAGACAGAGGCCATGGTATAGGCTGCCTGCATGGTGATAGTCACTGGATGAAGTGAAGGCCTCACCCCAACATGGCCTTAGCTCCCTTGAAGGACCAAGTACCTTGGTGGCATCAGAGGGAAATACTTCATATTCTCTTACATGTCCTACTATGTGACAGCTATATGTTCGCTAAGTTTTTTAAATAAGTGATGGGTAAAACTCTAGTCCTAGAATCTTGTTGGTACCAGGGATCGAACTCACCACCTTGTGCTTGCCAGGCAGGTGCTTATGCTGCTGAACAATATCCCTAGCCCATGGAATCTTTTTTAGAGTTAGTTCTTACATAATATTTTCTTACTTCTTCAGTCTTAATTGATCTCTCAAGCTTTGTCTTTCTTTTTCAGCTAACTTTTGTCTTTTAGTTAGGGTGTTTTTCCTAAAGTATAGGAACCTACTTAAATGAGTAAATAGAAGTTGCTGTGTATTAACTCAGATCTTCCTGAACTGAGTGGGAAGCAGGTCTATGAGTATTACTGAGAAGGCACAACTTTGATCATTGACAGATGTCCTGGGAAGAGATGAATATGATGGTGAGATAGGCTTTAGAATTTTATCTAATGTGGTAAAGCTTTATCTTCTTCTAGGAAAAGCAAAACATAAACATGTTTTCCGTTGATTTTTTTCCTTTTTTTTTTTTTTTTTTTTTTTTTTTTTTTTTTTTGAGGCAAGGTCTCAGGATGTAGTTTAAGTTGGTCTCAAACTTACTATGTAGCTCAGGCTGGCCTTCAATTCATGGTGATCCACCTACTTCAGTCTCCTGAATGCTGGGATTGTGGGCATATTCCACAATGTCAGGCTCCCCATTAATTTTAGTAGTACTCTCGAATATTTGCTCCTGAACTGGTTTGTGTATGAGCCCCTGTCCTGTAGGGCCCACATGTTTCAGTAAATTTAGATTTTCAGATTCTGTTTCAGTAAATTGAGGTAGAATCTAAACCTGTAAAAGGTTCCTTTATTGGCCATGTTGGCACATACCTGTGATCCTAGCACTTGGGAGGCTGAGGCAGGAGGAACACCACAAGTTTGAGGCCAGAATGAGCTATATATTGAGTTTGAGACCAACCTAAACTATTTACCAAGACCTTGTCTCAAAAACTCAACCCAACCCAACTCAGCCCAACTAAAACAGATACACAGAATATCAGGAATTACAGAAGTAGAGTTTCTGTTATCTATTCCATAACTTTACCCATTCTCATTTCATCATTTCAGTTTTATTTTTTTTTAATCTCTGAGTGTTTGAATGCCTATCAAATCACTTCTGGTTTATATCTGGAAGAGCATAAGCCTTTCTCTTCCTAGTTTCAATAACTGAAAGACATGAATTTAACAGAGCTTTGTTGGATTGAGGTATAGTCCATTCCAACCTTACCACCTTTTTTTCATAATTTCTAAACAGATGAACTACAACTCCCGGCAGGCAGTGCTGCTTGAGACTTTTTACCTCCTGTACCCTCCATGATGGACTACAGTTCTGTGTGATATGGTGTACTATCTCTCGAAGCCCATATTCTGTACAAGCACACATGTTGCTTTTTCCCACTATAGTTACTTGAAATTAAGAATCTTCTGGTAGGTAGAAAAAGAGGTTTCAAAAGGTAGCCAATGTGTAACTACTGATTTCTACTTCTCAGCCTGGTTCATTTACCTAATACCTAGTGGAAATTCTTTCTACCAGTTATAAGTTACCAACTGTATTTTGAGTTGGAAAACCTATTTAATGAACAGCTAAGCAGATGGTTTCGAAAAGAACACTTTTTAATGCAAATGCTTGTACTGAAAATATAAATTAAACTTCTAGTACATTGTTTTGAAATGTATGCTATAGTACATGTATGTGGCTACTATGTAAATCTATAACACTAACCTTGATTTTCATATTTTTTAAAATTGGAAATGTTAATGTAAAATGAGGTCCTTTTTGATTTATTTTTAGCTTTTTTATTCCATTGTTTAATTCCAAACATGTTAAAAATATCTATGTGTACTCTTTGAAAAGCCAAAACTTTCTAGTTCTATTGTCATTTTCATTTTATAGGTAGAGTAAATTTATGTAAAAAAGCTACACGTCTTCTGTAGAGAAGCCTTCATGTCTAAGCTCTGAGCCCTTATCAGTGAAATCTAGATCAAATAAATGGGCAAGCCGGGGATTTAGCTCAGTGGCATAAGTGCCTGCCTTGCAAGCTGTGAGGTCGTGAGTTCGATCCCCAGTACCAAAAAACAAACAAACAAACAAAAAACCACACACAAAGCCCTTTTCTTAAATTGGTTTGCATGCATTTTTTTTTCTATTGAGATTTCTAATTGTGTAATTAACTTTTTCTCTTTTTTTGTTAGTAATCCTGTGGATTTGAGTAACCCAGCCATTGTAAGCTCTACTCCAAAATTTCAGGAACAGTTCTTAAATGTGAGCGGAATGCCACAAGAATTGAATCAGTATCCTTGCCTTAAACATCTGCCTCAAATATTTTTTCGTGCCATGCGTGGAATCAGCTGTCTGGTGGATGCATTCTTAGGTGAATTTTGTGTATGTTGCTGGATGTTTAAAGAGCCTGCATTTCGATAACCCTCAAATCAAATTCTATGAAAAATTATGAAAGCCCAAAGGAAAAGATAAATAGATTTGATGATAAGTAACAAACTAGAGAAGATTGTTTGCAGCAAATATAATAGATTAATTTGTTTTTATAGAATCAAATAATATGCTAAGAAAAAGAATATTTACTAGATGAAGGGACAAAGGATACAAATAAATAATTTTCAAAAAAGTGCTTATTCTTATTATCCAGGAAAATACAATTATAACACACTTGAGACTATTCAAATGTATATTATTGTAAAGTAAGTTATACCTTTTATAAACTACTTTTTAAAAGATTTTTCACACTTTAGACATATAAGAGCTCAGGAGTTTTTTTTTTAACCAATTAAAAGATAATGATATTTATTATCTGTTTGTCTGGTCTGTCTGTCGATCAATTGATTATATTGAGGATTGAACCCAAGGGAGTGCTGACCACAATCCAGCCCTTTTACAAATTTATTTTAACACTCCACTGGCCTTGAGTTTATAATCTTCTGGCCTCATTCTCCTGAGTAATTGGGATTATAGTTGTGTGCCACCATGCCTTGTTTTCTAAAACATTTAAAGTTGTTTATATATTATGTAACAAACTAATAGTGCTGATTAAGTTTGGTGTCATATAACCAAAAATCTTACTGGTTTAAATAAAAGTTTATTTTCACACATGTGAAGTCAGGGCTAAGACATTATAGGGCTACTGTGGTAGATCTATTCCCTGGAGGGTTAAAAAGCCTTCTTGTCTAGTGGCTTTGCATCCTTTGTACACTGTCTGCTGGACTGTGATGGTCAAATGAGTTCTTCCTGTCCTGTGTGGGAGTTAGAAAGGAAGGAGAGTCTATACCTGATTGTCTTTTTAAGGAAATTTCTTAGAAGACCTGCCAACTATCACCTATTTTTCTGTAGTTAGAGAATGGCCACATCTAGTTGAGAGGCAGGAAAATGTTATTTATTGTGCGTAGCTATGTCCAGTTAAAATTTGTGTTCTGTCAAACAGATAAAAATAGTATGTAGATATTAGCAGGTGACTAGCAATCTGATATAGTATGCCCCACTGCTTCGAAAGTATTACATGCGGACGTTTTTCTGGTCAAATAGTCTTTTTTTTTTTCCTCTTGTTTGTTTTTTTTTTTTTTTTTGGTTATGCTGCGAATTAAACTCAGGGCATTCCACAAGTGCTCTATCGTTGTACTCCACCCCTTGCCCCAGTCACATATTTGAACTATGAAGAATAATTTCATCTTTCTTTTTTTCTTAAGGCATTTCTAGACCTAGGTCAGACAGTGCTCCCCCAACACCTGTGAATAGATTAAGTATGCCTCAAAGCACTGCAGTCAGTACTACCCCACCACATAACCGGAGGCACCGGGCTGTTACTGTGAATAAGACCACCATGAAGACAAGCACAGTAAGAACGAACTTTCCTTCCTTCCTTCCTTCCTTCCTTCCTGCCTGCCTGCCTGCCTGCCTGCCTGCTTTCCTTCCTTTGAGACAGGGTTTGAGTATGCAGTTCAGAGTGGCCTTTAACTCGCTTTGTAGCTCAGACTGGCTTGAACTAGCAGCAATCATCCTGCCTCAGCCTCCTGAATGCTGGGATTACCTGCATTGCCACCATGCATCACCATGTCCAGCCTAGAACTTTTATTACCATATTGAGACTGTATAAAGTTAACTTTTTAATTTTCTATCCTTTTTAGGAAAAAAGTCCTGTTTTTTCAAACCTTTCATCAGTATGGTTGTACTCTTGCTCTTCTCATAGGTTAGTACTGCTCATGCCTCAAAAGTCCAGCATCAGAGCTCCTCAACTTCTCCTCTGTCAAGTCCAAATCAGACTAGTTCAGAACCACGGCCACTGCCTGCCCCTCGGAGACCAAAGGTTAACAGCATCTTGAATCTCTTTGGATCATGGTTATTTGATGCAGCATTTGTTCACTGTAAACTTCATAATGGGATAAACAGAGACAGCAGCATGACTGGTAAATATTGCTTAAGAAACATGTTATCATTTTTTTCTCCCCCCCCCCCTTAAATCTTTCCTACCTGCAAGATTAATATGTTTCTTAAAAAGTTGTTTCTGACCAAGCAGTATCTCATGCTTAACCCCTTCCAGCTAAAGTAAAAAGAAACTTTGGAAGTTTTCCTACCTATTCTTTTAATGTGTATTCTAGGAGGTTTGGCCTTTTGTCTGGTTTTATTAGACATACTTCAGATTAGTCACTTTTTGTTGAATCAAATTCTTTTCATTAGGTGACCTGGAAGTTCCCTTCATGTCAGCCAGGGTTATAATATTTCAGTGAAGAATTAAAGATTTTGACTGGAAATGAACCACTGAGGCATTTTCTTAGATTTTTGACATCTAGTCAATCATTGGTACATATCTACATGAACAGTTATTTGCTTCACAGTAGACTCTAAACTGTCTTGTTTTAGTCTAGAAAACTGAGGGAAATCCTTTCAAAGTATCATTTGCTTTGTAACTTAAGAAGACTGATAAAGAATTAATAACTCTGATATCTTCATTTAGATTTTATTGTAGAAATGAAACTGTTTACATAAAATCTGATCTGTTTCTTTCATCTGACCATTATACTTAGAAATAGTGAAATGGGACACAGGATGGATGCAGGGAAAATACGGAATAATTGAATATTTATAATATGTTTTGCACAGTTGAATAATAATAATGACTGGCATTTTTTGAGTTGCTATTACTGTGTGCCAGGCACCATGATTATGCATTCTTGAATGTATTGATTGTTTGGTAAGAAACCACTTTTCTACTGGATTTGGAAATAGACTGAGATTTAAAAAAAAAAGTCTGATTATACTAGTTTTTGTATATCTAGGGAAAATATTAGTTCCAGGAATACACTAATATAATAGTCATAAGGTGTCTCTTTTCTCTCAGAAATGCCTTCATAGCTATTATGTATCATGTCATGATGAAAGTCTATGTCTGTGATTATTGTATACATACAGGGATTTTGGATGCTTTTATAAATCTTTAAATAATTTAGAAAAGTTATAAATATAAGGATTTTCAGGAGTATAATTTGAGATTGTGTGAGGTTAGGGATTCTTTTGCTTTATTTTGTTCAAATTTAGATACTTAATTTTCTACCATTTCCATGTTATAATTTTATTCACAAATGTGAAAGTAGTGCTTACTTATGGTTAAATGAATGTGTTTATAATGTCTAAATTAAGAAAAAGTTAAAAACAATTTTTGAGTTATATTTTCTTTATGTACTTTATATTTTGAGTTTTCTGAACCATATTTATTTTCTAGAGTAAGTTAGTAATTTTTATTTTTTTAAACATGTAATTCTTACAGTGTAGCTTTGGGGTTTTAGACAGTTGACACAGAAATCCCTGAATCTAGCATGCCTAGTCTGCTGTTTTGTTGGAGGGCTTGCTTAAAGGGAAATTAAAGAGCATTTTGTCTGTAGGGAATTTGTAACAGCTTTTCTCACCTTCTTACACCAGAAGATAGAAACCAAAGTTCAAATCATATGTGAGCAACATCTTTTAACTCATCATTTTCCTTGGTGGGGAAAGGATAGAAGCACTTCTCTTCCTCACTGTTTTTGGAGATGATAAAGGCTGTTACATTACCCAGGAAATGAGAAGTCTCTACATGGTGGAAGGGGTTATGGAGTGCTGCAGCATCAGGTCAGGATGGTGGTGGGGTGGGTGTGTTGGGTATACTATTTTGTTAGCACTGGCTGTCATCAAGGAATTCTATCACGCAGTTCACCTTTAACTTAAAATGTTTGGTTCCTTGAACTAGTTAGCTTTCAATTTATGTGACAGTACACTGTACTTTGTGAAAGTAATATTGAGCTGGGAAGGGTTAATGAACTAAAATTTTTATGCTCGTTGCAGGCAGTTCAAAACATCAGTTCTCTGTAGCTGTGTAACTTTCTTTGTTCATTGTTCTGCATGATACAAAAAAATCATAATTTTGGACCTGAATGCAGTTTCCTATGTTTTTAAACTAGCTCATGGTATCGTAAAGTTTTCAATTTAACCTTTAAAAAGCTAAAAAGCTTCTTAATTTGTTGTAAAATTTCACCATCTTTAAAGTATTTTATAATTACTGCTGTCCTTTGATTTGTTTCCATTTATTTCTATTATCTTGCAGCATCTTTTATCCAAATTCTTCTTTCTTATAAATCTTGTAAGTAGGAACCAGAAGCTTCTTAATTGCAGTCATGTTTTTATTTTTTTCATAATTCCATTAAAAATTTTGATTGTCATTGTCTCTTGTAGTTTTTGCACTTGGGAAGAAAAATACTTTTCTGTGTTTTGAATGGGGAAGATTGTTGGCAAAAGCAAATTGATCTGCCTGAATCAGTCCCATTATTTCTTGTATACTAGTCTGGTCATGTCATGAATTCCAGGACTTTGCACTAACTGTGTTTTGGCTTTTTTTGTTTTGTTTAAGCTTTAAGCTTATTTTTATACAGATTTACTGTTTGATTTGTATGCATTCTGCATGTAGTGTTTTTCAAATGTATTATTGCTGGATAGCTTATTCAGGACTAAATGGCTCATGGGAAGTTGCATAAAGATTCTTGACTCTGCATTCTATTCAACTTTTTATTACAAAACGATTTAATCATTTTATGTAGAGTAATAAAAGATTTCAGAGTGACTTTCAATACACTATGAAATCTTTTGTTAGAAATAAAGCAACTTTCGAAGGGCTTCTGTTTCAGTGACAATGGATGACCATGATAATCTTTTTTACCAACCTAATTTTCTAATTTATCAACCTCAAGTTAGCTGCCGTCTGTGGTTGTTAAAATTCATTCTCATTTGCTTGGTTGGGCAATTCTTTAGTGTGTGTTTTGGAGTTGGGTGGGTGCTGGGAATGCTCTGTTTCTCCCTACCCATTTCTCATCCTTAACTTGCCCTCTCCCAAAACTATACAAACTGGCATGGGGTTGCCTATTTAATTACAATGTCCATCTGGGTTAATATTTTTTCTTAATGAATGTTTAAGCACCATTCTGTAGGGTGAGGAAAACAACAGAAAAATAATTAAAAGCCAAATTCTGCATTATATATCTGTATATGAATACAGATATCATCTGATTAAAAATTCAGTTGAAGGTGCTTCTTGTAGAACCCATTAAACTAATAGTGCCACTGTAAATTGTTACCCATTTTCAAAGAAGATTTCAGAGAGCCCTTTTCAAAAAAAAAATTGCTGATAAAAAGCATTATTGGAACCTATTCAAGTAGCTATTTAATGATATCAATATTTGATCTTTGTGTCCAGGGTCCCATGAGCCTATGTGGCATATTGATAAACATAATAAAACCCTCCTTTTCTCTCCCCAGCCATCACAACACAAGCTAGTATGGAGTTTCGACGGAAAGGGTCACAAATGTCCACAGACACCATGGTTTCCAACCCTATGTTTGATGCAAGTGAATTTCCTGATAACTATGAAGCAGGAAGAGCTGAGGCTTGTGGGACACTGTGTAGGATTTTTTGTAGCAAGAAGACTGGAGAAGAGATACTGCCAGCTTATTTATCCAGGTCTTAGAATTTTTTGTATATTTTCCATTTATGTAGTTTTGATAGTGAAACACTTGTAGCATGGCTTAGTAGGCTGAATTGATAAGTAAATGCTGGTCTGAGATACCTATAAATGTCTGTACATGCTTGGAATTTGTTTGAATTTTTCCATTTTATTTGCGTCATCAAATTTGGTAAAGACTTTTAAGATTTTTTATCTAAGAAGTTTTTTATTCTATTTTATTTGAACTTTATTAATTAAAGAGCAATTTAGAAGAATCACAGTCATTTTTAATACATTTTTAGCACAGTATTAGGTACTATGGACAGTTCAGCTGTAAATCCTACACCAACGGAGTTAATTATCTGAAATTACCAAACCCATGTAGACAGGTAACAGTAAGAATAAGAAATTGCCAAGAGAGAAGTACAGGTAAAAGTCTGTGGGCAGTCAGAGGAAGAAGCAGTACACACTCTAGAGAGTTTGGAAAAGAGTTGTGGAAGATTGGATGACTGTTTGGTTTGTAAAGAACATGTAGTATTTTAGAAAATTAGGGGGATCATTTAATCCAGATCTCTGGATAAGCTTCTTTGTGATTGGCGCTGCTATCTATTCAGCTCCTTAGCTACAAACTAGGAGTCATTTTAGACTTTTCCCTCTGTATCTTTACTTGATTAATCCAATTTTTGCCTTTCTTCAGCTTACTCCTCTTTCTGACTTCTCTTAGACTTTCTTGTAGACTTCAGACATGGTCACTTTCTCTTAAATGCACTGTACTGGCCGCCTATTTTTCTTCTTAATTCTACTTTGTTCTTCTCAGTTGATCATTCACAAAGCTACTAAAGTGAGGTTAATATCAACCAGAACATCATAAGAGATACTGGTGTACCGCTAGGTTTTCAGAGAGAAGTCATCTTGGGAGAAGGAAGTTCAGAAGTATATGGGCATGAGAAAGCATATTATGTTCAGGGAATTACTCTACAATATCTTAATCATGGCTTTAAGTAAGGAAAATCCTTACAGTCACATTAAAGGTAAAGGGAGGAAGTTAAGAGAAACTAGTGATAGTTAACAAAGTCTAAGATCAGGAAGTGCAGCAAAGCCTTACAAAGAGTAGGATCCAAGGATTGGAAATGTTCAAGCACCAAAACAGCTTTCCTCTTTTCTATTTCTGTCTTCATGGTCTTCCAGAACTACTTCATTCTCCTCTCCATAGGTTATTTTCTTATTGTAATATACTTCTAAGTTCCCAATTTCTAGTTCCCATTTACAACCTTGGTCTAGGTAGTCACAGTGGTCAGTTAGCATCTCTGAATCCTAGTTTCAGATTCTTGGTGAAGAGCATCTGATGAATTAGGTCTATCTCTGGTCAGCTATCACTGTGAGGATGATTCATATAAAAGTGCCAGAGGTCACTGTGGTGGGGACCCATTTCTCAGGAAGGAGATGGTAGCCTGTAGAGATAATTCCAAGTGATATCACCAGCAATAAAGGAGAAGGCTATGGCCGTGAGCTTTTTGTCTTGGCCATAATACTGGATGGTGATAGTAGGACAAACTCAAAGAACAGATTTGTGAGAGTGCAGGGGAGGGAATTGGTTTTGAATATGTTTCAGTAATTCTGTTGCTATGGAATTTGTTTCAGTAATTTTATCAGTTTATTAATAAGTACTGCAGTCATTTGTTTTATTTTGTTATCATTGTCTCTCGTGCAGGGACCTTTGAGTTACAAGGCTTAAATGTTAAGGTATAATTGACACGAGTCTTTTCTTTTTCTTAATTAGGAAAAATGATTTGGTTCTTACTATATATGATTTTGAATTGTTTGAATTTCATTAAGCCTTTTAAAGGATAAGGATAGTGAAGAGTGGAAAAAGACTTTCAGATGACTTTGTAGAAATTATTAATAATTATGAAAACTTTTGATTAGCAGTTTATTTAAATATTTTTTCTTGCTTTCCTAGATTTTACATGCTTTTAATTCAAGGTTTGCAGATAAATGATTATGTGTGCCATCCTGTCTTGGCCAGCGTTATTCTAAACTCCCCTCCTTTGTTCTGCTGTGACTTGAAAGGGATTGATGTTGTGGTTCCTTACTTTATTTCAGCTCTTGAAACCATTTTGCCTGACAGGTAAGCTGTGATTCTCTACTACTATATCAATTGTCTGGTTTGGCCTAGTCTGTTTTGGTGCTTTCTCCTGTTTCCTAATGTGTGTATCTTGTCCAGTTGTCTTCATGGTCCAAGCAGACTTAGATTGTATTTATGAGTTCACAGAACATCCAAAATCAACTGCAGCTCTGGATGCCTTTGGTCCTGATGTGTCCATGGGCTTTTTTGGCTTGTCTAGGGAGGTCAGAACAAACCCAGCCATAAATGAAAGTCTTTCTATTTTTGGAGAATAGACTTTATTTTTTAAAATTTTTTTTGTGGTGCTAGGAATTGAAGTAAGAGCCTTGCTCATGCTAGGTAAGTGGTTCACTACTGAGTTACCCAGTCCTTGCATTTTATTTATTTTTAAAATTGTTTTTGAGATGGGGTTTTACTGTGTAGTCCAGGCTGGCCTTGAATTTGTGGTAATCCTCCTGCCTCTCAAGTGTTGGATTTATAGGTATGTGCTACCACACCTGAGTTAGGCCTTGTATTTTTAAATCGTGACACAAATCCACTGAATTTTGGTACAGTTCAGTAGTGATTTAATATAGATGAACATACACAAATACAAACAAAATGCTTGCATTGTGAAAAATTGACTTATAAAGTTTAGCAGTAGTTTAAAATGTATTTTAGGCCTGGGGGTATAGCTCAGCAATGCAAGCGTCTGCCTGGCAAGTGCAAGGTCCTGAGTTCAATTTCCAGTGCCCCCCCCCAAAAAGTAATTTAGATAAAAAATACTAATAGTTTTTTATTTTTTGGCAGAGAACTCTCAAAATTCAAAAGCTATGTAAATCCAACAGAATTAAGAAGATCCTCCATTAACATCCTACTTTCTTTGTTGCCCCTCCCTCATCATTTTGGCACAGTCAAATCTGAGGTAATGTTTTCTTAAGGTGTTTTACTGTGTTTTCTGTTCCTATGGACTAACTTAAGTCAAACAATAGATTTTTAATTGAAAACCTTTATTTCAAGTAAATTAATGAAGTCCCTTGGTTCAGGTATTTCTTCTGATATACACCAGCATGCCTTGACCTACCATTCCAAATGGTTATAGGGTAGTGACATATATGTTGCGTGAACAAGTGACAGACTCATCAGTGGTTAGTGTTAGACTGAGAGCCTTGCTTAGTAGATTGATCAGCTTTTTGTGTCCTATTCCCTCATGGGCATCATGTATCATAACAGCTGATGTGAACTATGTGTTTTTTCCCTAGGTGGTCCTGGAAGGAAAGTTTAGTAATGATGACAGCTCATCTTATGATAAGCCAGTAACTTTTCTGTCCCTGAAGTTGAGACTTGTGAATATACTAATAGGTGCCTTGCAAACGGAAACGGACCCCAACAACACCCAAATGATACTAGGTTTGTTGTCACATTCTTTTGTAAATGAAAACTCAGATATTGTTGGCCCTTGGCATGCTGAAGAACAGAGGTCAGTGATGAAATCTAAGTGTAATACAGCTCTTCTTATCAGGAGTGGAGGCAGAATTTATTTACTTTTTAATGTTTAAAAAAATGTTTAAAGGACTGAGATGAGGAAAGAAAGCCTTTCTGTGTTTTTGATCACTCTTTGTATTTATGGCCTTTTTTTCTCCCTGTGTCTCTCTCTCTGTCTGTTTTTTTCTTCTCCTTTCTTTGTCCCTTAATTCATTTACTTTACTTCTTTCTATTCTTTTTTCTTTTGAGGCAAGTTGTTATATAGTCTACATTTTACTGTGTAATTGAGGCTGGCTTCAGCTTTATAGTAGTGTTCCAGCCTCAGCCTCCTGAGTGCTGGGATTACAGGCATGCACCACTATGCGTAGCTACTCACTGTTTGACCTTTTCTTCTCTTCCTCTCCTCCTACCTATTAATTACATGTGAAAAATTTGGAGTAGGGTACAATTCTGGAAGACAAGTTAGCATCCTTCCAAGAAGAAATTATAGAGTAACTGTTTTGTGGTTCTCTTTTTCTTACTGTTTCATCTTACTTCTTTATCATATTGATTCTCTGTCTTAAATGTGTCAACATCATTATGGTCAGTTTCAGATTTCAGGTCATTATCACTTCATTATCAATTGCTGTACCTATATTTTATTGTACCTCTGACTTTGGTTTTTTTTTTTTGTACCTCTGACTTTGTATCAAAGCCAAGAGTGTGATCCTAGATACAGGTACATAGGATACACTAGAGAAATGAGGGACATGAGTCTTACTTTGAGAAAATTTCATTGCACAAAGACTGCCCATCACATCAGAAGGTGGTGTGATTACATGCTGTGTTAGTTGTCTTCAGGATTGAGAGAAAAGAAACCAAAAGGGCAGGAAAAACTTTTTAGCAGGAAGAGGAACCGTGGGATCTCGAGGCAAGAAATAATATGGCCATAGAATTGATAATGGCAGTAGTGGTTGTGGTAAGTGCTCATAAGTCTGATGTGTTAGTGAGAAGGTGGAGAAAACAGGGAAGAGAAAGACCTTTCATTTTGGAAAAGAGTTCAGGGAAGACTGGTTATAACATATGCTTTTTATGTTTTTGGGGGGGGAAGGTTTTAGAATCTAAGGGAAAAAAATAGCCAGGTATGTTCATGGGTGCCTATAATTCCAGCACTTGGGAAGGTGAGGCAAGCAAAAAAGAGAGAAAAATAAAAGAAAATCAGGAGCAAGAGAATTCAGTCACTTAAATTATGTATTTTGTACTTGTCCATACATTTTACCTGGTAGAAGAAAAATTTAAATCAATTAAGTGGGAGTACTGTGTTTCCTATATAGGCAGTTGTCAGTAAAAAAAAAATGTCAGTATAGTAGTGGCTACTGTGGCTCATGGACCTGTGGCATAGCATTAGAAAACGATAGTATGTCAGGCTTCTCAGAAACACTCCGAGTGGGTGGCATAGAACTTGGTCTCATACTAGACCAGTCTGTTACTGTCACCTGCTCAGACTAAATACGTGGTATTTTGGGCCCTTGCTCTTCCCTCATTCCCCACTCCTGCCATGACCTTTACTTGATCTTATTCTAGATCTTATTTCCCTGAAACTGGTGTCTCCATTATCTTAACTTAAAATGTTCCTTTTTCTGTTACATGTACTCTTTCATTTCATTAACTTTGTTACTTCACCAATGCTTTAACCCATGAATGAGCACTCTAGCTCATGGCCATATCAAATCTTCCGTATTTGTAGTAGTTTTTTTATTTTTTATTTCCTGTGTTTTTGAGATAGGGTCTCACTATGAAGTTCAGGCTGGCTTTGAGGTCACTATGTAACCCAGGCTGGTCTCAAACTCGCAACAATCCTCGTGCCACATCCTCCTGTGCTGGGATTATATGCATGCACCACCATGTCCAGCTTCGTAGTGGTTCATTTTGACACAGTCATGTTGATCTATTATCTGTGGTTGCATTTGTGCTCTAACAGGAGAGCTTAGTAGTCGTGACAGATCAGATATATAAATATAAAAGATTTACTTCCTGACCTTTTATAGAAAAAGTTTACCTATTCTCACTCTACCTTTAATTCACTGACCATGTTTCTCATTTTACTGTCTGTCGCTTCTCCTGTTTTATCCTTCTCCAGCCTAAATTACTTGCTGCTTAACACTTCTTAAACTCCAACTCTGCTTAAGTCAGTCAGCTCTCTGTTTATTCCACATTCACACCCAAGTGAGCATTGCTAGAGGAAAAATGTCCTATAGCAGGGCTGACTACCCTTTTAGACTTGGGACTGTAAATGTCAGGTGATACTTAGCTCTGACTGGTGGTTTCACCAACGCATTCGGGTAATTAATTTTCTGTTTCTCATGCTTTACATCCTCAGCCTGTGTTTTTCATCTGCATAGCTGGTGCTCTTGGTATATATCTCATAGACAGAAGTGTGTCAGATAACTGCCCCCCCCCGACCTGGTAGCTCCTTCTTCCCCTCAGCAGGAGTTGTTTACATCATGTGCCAGGTACCACCCGTGAGCCTGGAATACAGAAAGGAACAAAACAGAAAAAAATCTTTCTGGTGCTGACAAAGATCAAGGAGTACATAAGAGTGTATTCTATAAAAAAAAAAAAAAAGAGTGTATTCTGTGGGGGAGGAAACAGATCAAGGAAAGGAGATGGGGGTAGGCGGTGTGCCATGAGGCAGAGGGCAGGGGCTGTTTAATTTTAAGCAGAGCGCCATGGCAGATCATGCTGAGAAGGTGAAGGAGGGAGCTGTGCAGGTACCTGGAATTGAGGTTGTGCCAGAGGGTACAGCAGGGCAAAGTACCTGAAGCAGTGCGTTGGAGCAAAGCGAGGATGCCAGTGTAGGCGAAATGAAGAGGGCAGAGGTAGAGACAGCAGGAGGTGGAGACAGAGCTGGCGCAGCTTGTTCCAGTGCTGCCCACTTGGCCCACTCTCACTGCCTTCTCTAGGTCCTCACTCCTCTTTCCTGTCTGATCACCTTCTCCTTCCAACCTGATTATTTATGCTGGTCTAGGAATATGTCCTATTGCTGTTCTAGAATACAACTTTCTGGATGTCTTAGCTTCTCTAGCTGTTGTCCTCATTCTCTTCTACCCTGAAAATAAAAACCCTTTAAATTTTCCACTCTTTTTGGGTACCATTTTTGTCCCTATCATACCACTGAGTGAACTCACATCAAAGTTTCCAGTGGACTCCCTGTTGCCACAACTGAGCAAGTTGTGGTCATCTTCTCACTTGGCCTTGTAGCACTGGCTTGCTTGACCCCATCCCTTACCATATTTTGCTTGAGTCCTGCATTGTACCATACTAACCTGATTTTCATTCGATCTCCCTGGTTCTTCTTCCATCTCCTTTGCTCCCTTCTCCTGCCTACCAAGCTGTTACATGTTGGAAAGTATTAAGTGCTGTTCTTGGCCCTCTTATTCTAGGTAGTCTCATCAGTGCCATCACTTCAGGTATCATAGATCCATGTGCTCTTTAGCCTACATCCATCCTCCGAATTCTGTGTTTGTTACCAGCTACCTGCCCACTTGATAGCTCCACTAATACAGTACATCTACAGGGCAGCTCACACTTACCTGCCTCCCACAGCTTTGCCCTAAATCAGTTGCCCAACAGTCTAGTTGCTCACCTTGGTACATGGCTTCTTCAGATATATATCAAATTTTTCAAACAAGAACCTACAATTCATCTATCTTTAATTCTTCCCTTTCTCCAATGCCCCACATTTAAGTCCACCCCAAAGTTCTGTTGGCACTACTTCCAAAATATATCCTGATCCACCCTTCCTTTTCACTCTTTTTAAGCTGCTCATCTTTTAATTACAGTGTTATCACTGCCTTATACCTGGTCTCTTTGCTTCCTTTCTTGCTTCTTCACCTTTCATCTTCCCTACATAAGCCAGAATCAGTATTCTGATTTTACTGTGTAATTCAGTCTGACTTCAGCTTTACAGTAGTGCTCCCACCTCAGCCTCCTGAGCTTGTTAATGCCATTGGCTGCTCATTAAACTTAGAATAAAATTCCCATCCATTAACCTGATCTACAGAGCACCTACCTTCAAACATTGTCTCACCTCTGTACAGTAGGACAGGTACAGATGTGGTTTTAATTTCCCTACTTTGTTTTTTTCTAAAATATTAGAACCTTGTTTATAATATCATTGAAATCAAGATGGTTATATCTGGTCCTTTACACCAATTAAAACATATCAGACAGTAAGTACATTTTATAAAAGTACAGTTTGGCTTTCCAGTTTATTTTAGAAAGATATGATTTTAAAACTTTGGGAGATAGAGTAGAATAGGAGAAATTCTAGAGTGTCCATTGTGACAAGTTGTTGAATTTATTAGTAATTTTGGGGAGTTCAGGAAAGCTCATATTCTTATTTCTATTCTTAATCATATGAGCCTTTGTAGTGTTCTTACATCTTTTAATTGCATTGTTTTCCCTTTTTGCTGTTGTAGGGGCAATGTTAAATATTGTCCAAGATTCTGCACTTTTAGAAGCCATTGGTTGTCAAATGGAGCTGGTAAGAAGGTTTTAACATATAATTTGTCAGAGTCTGTCAATGTATGATTTATATAAATTATTTTCCAGTTCTTGTGATTTTTTTTTTCCCTTTGGTATCAAGGATCGAACACATGACCTTGCATTTGCCAGGCAGGTGCTTATGCCACTGAGCTAAATCCCCGGCCCTACCTTTGTGATTTTAAAAGACCTTTTGTTTTAAATCCAGCTCATTCATTCAAAAGAACTTTTGTTTTTCTTTTTTTTTTCTCTTTTTCTTGCTTGAAACAGGGTCTTCCTGGTTCAGGCTGGCTTTGAACTCATGGCAATTCTTGTACTTCAGGTTTCTGAGTGCTGGGATGGCAGACATATGCCACCATACCCAGTAGAAGGACTCCTTTTAAAAAATCTATTCTGAGATTTTTTTTTTTTAACTTGTCAGTGACTTAATAGCTGTGCATCAGATCGCTGAGAGTTTCTGCGTGACAGAAATTCTAGCTAAGGCAGTCTTTATTTCTTGACAAGTCTACCTGTCTTGCTGTGCTGGTGAACTGGCCTGAGTAATCTAAATAAGCCTTTTTTTTCCGTAATCCCTGGCATCTCTAATGGATCTAAGGATGATTGTAAGATCAGAGGTCTCTTTCTAGCCCCTTAGACTAAAATTTTCAGGTCCCTCAAAACACTAATGCTTCTTAATAGAAAAGGCTTCCCAAAGACATCCAGTGCCCTTTGCTTTTGTCATTAAATATATGATCTTTATATCTAAAGGCTGCAGAGAAGGGGAATTAATTAATAGGATGTGTAGAGTGGCTATAGAATGAGTAATCGGGGTATTGACAAAGAAATTACATTTATGTCCAGTAGATAGCTAACAACAATTTACTGTTGCAGGCAAAATGAATCATGCTTCTGTGGCAAAAATGAGGAAAATTATTTATTAACAAATTTATTAGCTCCAATTATATAAGAATTTACATGTAATATTTTGTTTGTTTTACAGTATAACTTATATTTGAAAGTTTCTGTTTTCTTTTGAGATTATATTCGTATTCTAAGATTCTGTTTGGTTGGTACGGAGGGTGTTTTTTTAAGGACCCAGTGAAGTCTAGTAAAGAATTGAAAAAGATCCTGTGCTGGACTTTTATAAACAGTAGCAAGGAAACCCCAGTTGGGCTACCTAGAGTTGTCAGACCCTTCATAGCCTTCAGGTTGTGTCTGTGTAGAAACACCACAGCACTTTTAATCCATTGTTGGTTTGTTATCTGTATATCATTACATGCCATTTAATTGGCCCATCCCATTTTATCAGTAAAATTTTTAATGATTAGTTTCTGTTTCTGTTTGTTAAATATGTCATAACTGCCAAATACTGTATTTGTTAAATATGGCATAACTGCCAAATGATGTATTTTCATTTGACTAGGGTGGTGGAGAAGATAACATGAAGGGTCATAGTCGCACTAATAGTGGTATTAGTTCAGCAAGTGGTGGAAGCACAGAGCCCACAACTCCTGACAGTGAGAGACCTGCTCAAGCTCTCCTAAGGGATTATGGTAAGCTGTGTTAAGAAAGAATAAAAATGAAAGTTTTACAGAATTACTTTTATTCTTAGATTTAGAAAATTTTAATGTTTAAAAATTTAAAACAAAACTAAAACCAAAAATTTTATGTATTTCAGTATAATAGCATGTTAGTCTGAAAAACTAAGGAAAACCCCAAGTAGTTTTCACCTGCATAGCTTTTAACAGTTATATTTGGGGTAGTTTATTAGATTCTGTAGATCACTGTAATGAGTGGTCAGGAAAGATACCATGATAAAGCAGGTGTCGGTGATATGGGTCAGATAAGATAGGGCCATGATCAGAGCGAGCACACAGTTAATTAGTGACTGCAGTGAGAGAAGGAAGGGATGGAGTCCGCAGTCGAGGAGAACTAGGGGGAGGAGTAACTGTCTCCATGTTAAACTTTGTATACCTACCCTACTGTGCACATCATTAGATTCTTCAGGCACAAATTTAAAGAGTAAGGAAACATTTTTATTTTCTGCTTTCCCAAATAAAGTATTTGTCAGCAAAGCATTCTATTCAGTAATGTCCTTTACCTAGGGCTACTGTTTTATGTTTGTAGTCTGTTTTAAGGACCTTTATATTTTTATACTCAAATACTAATAGTATATTGAATCTGCAAATATTTAGCTAACTAGGTTACAGTGGTGTTTAATTTCTTAGATGTGAATTCTTTAATCATCTGGAATCTTAATGAGCCATGTTCATGAGTCATGTTTTTATGGTTTAAGTTTACAGTGAGTATTCTTGTGGATATCAGCTAGATAAAGTAATTATGTGGCTATTTGCTATATATAAGTATTATATTTATACAGTGGTTACTTAAATTGTTATCTTATTCATTGTGTATGTAAACTTAGGTATATTGTAGGCTGAAAATTTTCCGTTTTTTTCTACCTTTTAAAATGAAGATGTTTGCATTGCTGCATGTGTTCTAATGTTTGAAGTGATTATTGTTTGTTTCAGCATTTTGAACTGGTGTTAGTGAGCTCTGCTTGTAATGTTGTAAAATATTTTTTTACTAAGAAATCCAGATTTGTGTTAGTGTTGCATGAATGTCTCTCTTTAATGATCATTCCTTTTTCTGTTGTCACTGCCCTCTTTCTGATAGGATCGACAGGTATAATGTCCCTAAAGCTTCCTTTATAAATTCAGTTTAATTTGTCCTAAGCTCTTCTAATGTACTACTAGCTAGGTAATAATGACTCAAATATAAAATTGGAAGCCAAATAAAAACTGGCTTGTTTATTTAATGCTTTTAGAACTATTAAAGTAGTCTTGGAGAGTTACATGTTAAAATGGATTTGAAAAGGCATTGCATGTGATTTTTGATGCTTTCAACTCTACAAGTAATTTCAACAGGTGCTATAAGGTAATTCCCAGCATCTGAGGAGGCTGTGAAAGTTGGGGTTTTTTTCCTTTATAAAATCCCATGGCAATATTTGATAGCCTTTTCATTATTGTTTTTTGTTTGAAAATGTAACTCTCTGTGGGTTGTTAATTCAGAAACTGTAAGATGTGCAGCATTAAGGCCTGTGGTTGTCTATGTGAAAATATGTGGGCTGGGAGCTAGAAGCTGCCCTAGCCCTGCAGGGGGCACCTTGTGCTACATCACTCAGGCTGGCTGGGGCTCAGGCCAGTGGGCGGGGAGCATAGCACTATGTGGGTGCCCATCGTGCTCACTGTGGCTGCTGTGGTCTGTGCCTGGTGGAATGCTGTGCTTCTTGTTACTAATGCTTAGTTGTTTTCCCTCCCTGTGGGATGTGGCATTGGGGTTATATCCTAGCTCTTAATACAGATTCAGCTGCTGGGCTCCTGATTCGCAGCATTCATCTTGTCACCCAAAGACTCAACTCCCAGTGGCGGCAAGACATGAGCATATCACTAGCAGCTCTAGAGCTCCTCTCTGGCCTGGCAAAGGTGAGGAAGATGATCCTTTTATTTTACCTCAGCAGCTTTGCAGCATGGCTGTTTGTTCTGTATGTCTTCTTTCCTTGGTGGAGGAATTGCAGAGTTGGCTTTCCTCAGTTTATATCAAATTGTAGGACATTAAGTTTCCAAATGAAATTTTACAGCGTGAATTTTATTTTTATGAACAGATAAAACTGAATTTGTTGACTCAGTACTATAATCTTCACACTTGGGAAGCTGAGGCAGGAAGATAATGAGTTAGAGGCCAGCCTAGACTATGTTGTGAGTTCCGGCCAGGCTGGGTTACATAACAAGATTCTGTATTAAAAAGTTTAAAAAATTTTTTTTAAATATAAAAATAGGTTTAAAGAGTATGAACATTTTTGCTGTAAAATTACATGAAACATAATAGTTGCTATTTCTTTGAATATAATATGGTACATGGTGGTTTTAATTTTTTACCTATTTTATTATAAAGAAGATACAACCAAGGAAAATAAAGCAGAATAAAATCAATCAAATCAAATTGGTATAAGCGATACAGGACTTCAAAACAATATGAAATTAACAATGGTTACTTTAATGCCTTTTGTCTTCAAGTAGCTGCAGATACCATCAGACATAGTAAAAATCAAGCAGAACAGAATAGAATAGTGCTAGTCAAAACAAAAGAATGAGTGTAATAAAGAATTTCAAAACAATAGTAAACCCCAAATGGCTACCATAATATATCTTGCTGTTTTTGAAATAGCTGTTCATGCCATCAGATATAAGAAAGTCAAACAAAACAAAACCGAATAAACCCCATGCCACAAAACAATGAAAATGATACAGGGCTCCAAAACAAGATAATAGGGAATTAACAGTGGCTACCACCTTCAGAAGGCAATCCCCATTAGATTCCACAATCTCTGTACACCACAATCCTCTGAACACTTTGATTTTATATAGAATGGTTGTTCTCAAGTATGCTAGTTGGGATTACATGTGCCTACTGTCTTCCATTATCTGAGATAATTGAAAATGGGCAGTTCAGATTTCTTTCACAGGTATCATTTCATTTTTGTGGAACCTTAGAGCTGAATGCTCTCTTGAATTTCTTGCCTCTACCCCTCCCTTCAAGGTAAAACACATATAATGTAAAATTAAGCATTTTCTATTATTTATTTATTTATTTAGGATTGTTCAGTCAGAGTTTCACCATGTTGTCCAGGGTACCCTTGAACTTGCTAAGTTGCCAAAGCTGACCTCAAAACTGCAATTCTTGTGCTTCCCGTGTTCTGAATATCTGGATTACAGGCATGCCCTACTCTACCTGGCTCAAAATTAATAATTTCAGAATGAGTAATTTAGTAGCAGCTGGCAGATTCATAGTGTTGTGCAACCACCAACTCTCATTCTAAAGTGTTTTTATCACCTCAAAAGGAAAACTCTGTACCCATTAAGTAGTGCTTCTTTGCCCCCTCCTTCCCACCTCAGCCATTGATAGCTCGCATTTTATAGATATCTAGTTACCTTTTCTTAAATGGAGTATTACGGTACATGAACTTTTTTGTGGTTGACTTTTTCATTTAATATAATTTTTTGTGTTTTACTCCTTTTGTAGACTTTGTCTGAATTTCATTAACCTTTTGTGGTTGAATAGTACATATTGAATGTATATTCCACACTTTGTCCATTCATCATTTGGTGCACATTGAAACTATTTTCACTTTTAGGCTTATGTTAGTTTTGCCTTGAACACGTGTATACATGTATTTCTTTACTAGTTTTTGATTCTTTGAGGTATATACTGAGTATGGTGAATTGTAGTGTATATGATAATTTTTAATGTTTTGAGGAATTGCCAAATTGTTTTCTATAGCTACTGCATCATTTTACATTCCCACTAGCAGTGTACCATACTAGGGTTCCACTTGCCAAATCCTTATTAGCATCTGTTTTTTTAATTAGTAAAATGGGCAAAGTTATCTTGCATGTAACAAGAGAATTTCATTGAGAGGATCATATGAATAAATATATAAAATACCTTGTGAATAAAAGGTGACACACCCACACAGGTGGCACTATCTGAGATGCTATGGTTTAAACCCTGAACAGAAAGCCTTAGATGAAACACTGCTGTGTACCTGTCTGGCAAAATAAAGGATTGAGTATAAAGCTACAGTAATGAAAACAAACATCCCAGTATTCAGAAGGTTGAAGCTGGAGGGTGGCAAGTTTAGGGCCCGTCTGGGCTATGTAACGGGTTCCAGACCCTCTGGAATGTATGTATAGAAAGCCTTGTTTAACACAACAAAACCAAAACACCAAAAACCAAACCAAACTGATGTTGAAATAGGTTTGGACAAAGAGTTTGGAATAGAATAGAGAGTTAAAAAACAGATCCATGTATATGCAGTCATTTTATTTCTTCTTTTAAAACAGTATAAAAGTAATTCAAAGGAGAAAGGATAGTGTTTTCAGTCAGTGGTGCTGGAATCATTGGCTATTCATCTATAAACAAACACTAAAAAGACTTCGTTTCTTTTTATTTTTATCTCATCGGTACATTTTATATATTCATAGTGATTGCATTCATCATAAGGAATTTGTACTTGTACATGGTATATCTTATAGCTTCTTTCTTTCCCTTTTCCCTCCCTTCTTTAAGACTTTATTTCATATATATGTTATCTACAAAAATTCACTCCAGTTGGATTATATGCATAAATGTAGAACATAAACTCTAATTTATAGATGAAAACATAGGAGAGAATCTTTGTGACGTTGGATTACACAAAAATTTCTTAAAGGTTACACTAAAGAATAAAGTGATAAATTGGACTTCATCAAAAACAAAATCATTGTTTTCTAAAGATAAATCACAAATCATTGATTAGAAGAAAATGTTTATCAACTCTGAAAATTCAGTGGTGACCTTTCCTTTCGGTGTAAGATTTTTTTCTTTTTCTTTCTTTCTTTTTTTTTTTTTTTTTTTGTACTGGGGATTGAACTCATAATCTTGCGCTTGCTAGGCAGGCGCTTACAATGCTGAGATAAATCCCCGGCTTTTTTGGTATGATTTTGACAGCATTATGGTACAATTTTCTTTTTTGTCTTTTTGAGACAGAATCTCACTATATAATTCAAGCTAGCCTTGGGCTCACTTTGTAGCCCAAGTTGGTCTCGAATTTGAAAGGATCCTTCTGACTCAGCTCTCCTGAGTACTGGGATTTCAGAAGTGCACCAGCACACCTAGATGTGGTAGTTTCCTAAGAAGAGAAAATTTGTCCCTGATGGCATCTTCAAACCTGAATTGAATAATTTCTCACTCAGATGCTTGCTAGAAATAGCCATTCTGGCAGTAAGGTCCAACATACAGTGGTCAACATGGAATCACTAGCTTAGCCTAAAGCATGTAAAACATTCCTTTGAGAAGGATCAGCAGATCTGTAAAATGATTCTTGTAGTTCAGGAGAAACTGAGTTTTCTTGAGGGCATGCCAATGGAGCTTTGTGCTAAAGAGGGGGATGTCTACCCTTTCCTAGGTGGAGCCTCCATTAGAACTCCTAAGATAAATTTCTATGGAGAGAGCTGGCTACACTGTGCTGTTTTGTGGACAGCAGGTCAAGGACAACAGGTTCTTGGCATCCAGGAGAGTCATCAGGAAAGTGATCTGTGTCCACAATGCTGAGTCTTGTATGACCACTTGAGCACAGTGGACCTGAAAGATGAGCTACAGTACTACCCGGCACCCTCATCTCTGACTAGGAACCTAAGAAGTCAGAGCCACATGCTATTCTGTAGCCACTGCCTACAGAGGACTTCCTGGCAGCTGGACCTGGAGTCCGCATGTAGTTTCATAAAAACTTCTACCAAAACATTTATAAAAGCAGAACAACCACCAGTGAAGTAAACCTCTCAATAGTAAAATTCAGTGCTATCAAAAAAAGTTAAAAAACAGGCAGAGGATTTGGAAAAAAACTTAAAGGAGATAAACAGGTGACAAACACATGAAAAGATGTTCAGTATCATTCACTATTAAAAATGCAGTTAAAACCACAGTGAGATACTATTCCGTATGTAGTAGAATAGCTAAAATTAAGAAGACTGACCACACACTTGGGTGAGGAAGTAGAGGAACTGTTGATGGTAATGTTATCTGGAATAACCATTTTAGAAAACAGCGCAGCATGGCATTTGTTTAAAAAGTTAAACATCCATCTGTCTTATGACTCAGTGATTCCTCTCCCAGGATATGAGGGCATATATTCATTCAAAAACTTGGATGTGGATGTTGATTGTAGCCTTATTGCGATATGCAAAAGCTAGAAACAACCCAAATATCCATTAGCTGATTCTGAGTAAATAATTAGTGGTATTTCCATGCAGTGGAGTATTGTTCAGCAGATAAAAGTAACACATAAGCAATACAGAAAAATATAGAGAACTATGAAAATATTATGTCAAGTAGAATACAAAGTAGTGAGACCATCCACTCTTATTCCTTGCTGGTATGAATGCAACCTAGTCTATAGTGGTAGCAGATCAGTAGTTGCTTAGAGTTGCAAACAGGAATAGTGGGAAGAATCCAAAGTTACATGAAGAAATTTTTGGGATGATGTAAACATACGGTCATTATCTTACTACATGAGTTTATATGCACAGTATTTTGTGCAGAATGAAGAACATCACAGATTGGGTTCGGGATGCTTAAAATTGTGTATATCTTCCCTTGCCAATAAGTCTTTCAGTCTTTGGCAAGGATGAATAGGTATGCCCAATAGGTTTGCATTTTAGGACATGAAAAACTATGCTAATGTGGAATACTGTTTTAAGATTTGAAAATTGCCTCCATTTTTTTTGGAACTATAATAGTACGTTAGAAGTATTCTCCTCATATATGTAAATATTAAAAAACTAAGCCTTTTGTGATGTGTCCTTGATGCACATGCTTTGAATTTGTACTGTGATTTCTGGCTAATTTCTGTTCCTCAAATGAACATGCTCAGGTGAGGGTGATGGTTGACTCAGGAGACCGAAAGCGAGCCATCAGTTCTGTGTGCAGCTACATCGTGTACCAGTGCAGCCGACCAGCTCCTCTTCACTCTCGAGATCTGCACTCTATGATAGTGGCAGCTTTTCAGTGTCTCTGTGTCTGGCTGACAGAGCACCCTGATATGCTTGATGAAAAGGTGTGTTTATTCAGTCTTAAAATATACAGAAATTAAAATATATGCTGCAAATACATTTTAAATACCTTTAAATGTAAATGCACTTGTTAGATTTCAGTAGAACAGTTACCCTTTAGAGCACTAAACTATCATCATGTGTGTATTTGGTTATAGATTAATACAGAGGAAGTTCTTTAAAAGAGAGAGCCTTGCCTAATTTACCTGAACTATTGAAACTATTTTTGAAAGTTGATAGCCTTAAGATAGCTTGTAAGCACTTTGGTCATATAATATCAAAGCAATAAGGCCAGTTGATCGCTAGCCTGCCAAGGCAGAGCACAGCTTATCATAAAAATTTCTTCTGTCTGTAATTTCACACATATTTTTCTGTTTTTAAGTTGCTTCAGATATGTATTTTTAAGTGGCCTCAACTATGCTTACCTGCCACTAGTCCTTACAGGGAAGTAAGTTTTGATAAAGAATTTATAGGGAAAATAAAAGATATGAAAGTAATTAAGACTAATTTTTAAAAACAATATTGCTGATAACATTTATTTGTGGTTATGGGCTTTAAAGTTATGCTACTATTAACTGTTTGAAATGTTTATTATGCATGAGCTTCTTTTTACTATATTAGATCATTTGTCTTAATCCCAGGTTTAGCTGAATTGTTGCCATATATCTTTCATTTGACCTTTTGTAATTTGTGGTCCTTGCTAATGGAAAAGAACTTCTATGACTGATAAAGTTGATTTTGGTTTTCTTTATTTACCTACTCATGGATCTTTCAGATTTAGTTCTAAAGAGAAATCTGGAGAGGGAGTATAAAGTTTTATTTCTGGAGCCCCACTAACCAGATATAACTGTTAGCATTTTGAGGGATTCCTTATGTTTCATAATGTGTATAAGAAAATCTTGTCTGCCTTTCTTTCTTCTAGGACTGCCTTAAAGAAGTACTGGAGATTGTAGAACTGGGTATCTCAGGAAGCAAGTCCAAAAACAGTGATCAAGAGGTCAAATACAAAGGAGATAAGGAGCCAAACCCTGCATCTATGAGGGTGAAGGATGCTGCTGAAGCCACCCTAACATGGTATGAGTGTGGCTACCAAGAATTATGCTTGAGTTATGTGGGGTTAGCAGTGATCCGTGGTGATTGTTCTGCTTTAAGTGACTCTGCCTCTAGGATATTTTGGCTCTAGAAAGAAAATGGAAAGGAAACACTCCTTTTTTGTACTTGTTTGTTAGACCAAGTGGAACTTGGAGCTGAGCTTGGGTCCTCGATTGTCTTTACTCAGCGATAGTAATTCAAAATTCATATTACAGCTAGAAAAGAGCTTGAAGAAACTTACTGTACTCCTTCACTTTGATTGCTTAGTTCAAAGATGAAATGTGTCTGTGGCCATATCATCAAATTTCCTGCTTCCAAACTTGGGTGACTATGGTGTCTGCAACACCATGTTACATATCAGAGATTCATTCACCCAAGATGTACAAATTTGCTCTTATGAAACTGGTGATGGAACCATAAAGATAAACCGGATTCTGTCACTAACATCAGGTGTAGTGGGGACTTACGTTCATACCTTAAAAGTTCCAAGAGAAGTGGTAGAAATAAAGTTCTGGGGAGTTGGAAAGAGGAAACGAGTACTTCCAGATATGAGGAAATTAAAGTAACATCCCTAGGGAAAGTGACATTAGACCTGAACGAGAAACTGGGTAAAGTTTGAACCTGGAGCTAGATTACAGGGTAGTTAAAAGGCACCAAGACTACTGTGTCAAACTTTTTTCCTCCTCCTTTTAGATATTTGAAGACAGGGTCTTGCTATGTAGTTCAAGCTGGCCATGAACTCACTGGCCTCCAACTTGCACCACTGCTTCTGCCTCAGCCTCCCGAGTCCTGGAAGTATCGACATGTACCACCACACCCAGCTTTACTGTGCCAAGCATTTTGATAGTACATAAATGGAAGAAGAGAGAGAGGTTGGCTCCTTGAAAGGGCAGTAGAGAAAGTTAAAAGAATTTTGTGTTTGTCAGATACGTAAGGAGACTAGAAAAAGCAGAGGAATGCATTTCAGGCACCTTTATGAACAGAAGCGAACAGTTAAGTGGAGAAAATTACATGTAATAACAGGAATCATGAAAATCTGCTATTTATGAAACAGAAATATGAATAAACCAGACAAAATACAAGAGAAGAAAGAAAGAATGCCAAGTCAGTCTATGTTGGCTTGTTTCAATCTTAGTAAAGTAACAGGCAGGACTGCTTGGAGATGTGTATGTAAATAGGCCCTTCCTCAGATCCCAGTATCTCTGCAAGTTCAGTGATTGTTGCTTATTTTGGATGTACACAGTTGAATTTTTTCATGTTCTTTGTGGGCCCAAGTCATTGAATAAATAATAGATGCTTGATTTAGTTTCACTGTGTAGAATGCTGGACTTTTAATGACTTTGTGAAAGTTTGGCTAATAGTTTGAAAATTTGAATAATATGAGTAGAGGTCCTGAATTAGGGGTGTATGTATTTGGTCAGCACTAGAACTTAAGAAAAAAGATCACATATAGGCTGCGGTAGCCTTCGAGTGTCATTGAACTAGGACTTGATGTGTGCTGTGAAAAGAAAAGGATATGGAGAGAAACTGGAAGGGCATTTCTCTCTGGGAACTCTTCGTAATACAAAAATGTATACTCCACCCTAGCCTGGACTGGGTATTCCTGTGTGAGTATGGTTGCCAGTGAGGATTGGAAAAATGCTCAGGGTGAGTAGACAGCTCCAGGGTCCTTTTCCCCTACCTAGATAGCAGTTATTTAGAGGGCTCCTCTCTTTTTGTTGCTTGTGTCTGTTGGCAAATCCATAAATAGCATCTCCAGATTCTGGCTCTAAAGAGTTCTGTCCTTGGGAAATATATATCCGTTACCACATTTTTCTTTCTCTTCCAGTTGCTGCTTTATGTTAGTATCAGCACTGTTTTCCAGTTACGCAAACAGAGAACTTAGCTTTATCTCTGACTTACATTTCTGTCACTTCCTATATGAGGCTAGCAACTGAATCCACCAGTAGGCTTTATTTTGTAGAGTATTCCTCTTATCCCCACTAATCTCACATAGCATCATCGTGCAGCTCCTCCCTATTTCTTGTCTGATTTTCTTGTTTTTAGTTTCTTAATCCTTCTTGGTCACCTTTCTTTTTATTGCTACACTCAGCATCCTTAGGCAGATATTTTTTAGTTTTTATTTTAAAGAGAATAAAACTAAGCAAAATGAAACAGAGTAAAGCCAATCAAAACAAACCAGTTTAAGTGACACAGGACTTCAAAACAGTACAAAATCAGCAATAGTTACCATAATGCCTCTAGTTGTCTTCAAAATGCTGCAGATAACTTCAGATATAGTAAAAGTGAAACAGAATAGAACACTAAAATAAAAACAAAACAAAAAGAATGTAATAAAGGACTTCAAAGCAAGACAGTAGTAAATCCAAAATGCCTATCGTAATATATCTTGCTATCTGTGAAATAGCTGCCTGTGCCTTTGGATATAACAAAATCAAACAAAACAGTAGAACTCAATCCAATAATATAATGAAAAATGATAAGCATGTCAAAACAAGATAATGGGGAATTAACCATGGTTATCACCTTCAGAAGGAGATGCCCTATAGATGCTACATTGCATATCGCCATCCTCTGAATAGATGATGAGACTACTGTCCCTAGACCTGCAAAGTCAGTGAAACACCAAACACCACAAGCATCTAATTTCATTTTACCTCAATACCTATCATTGCAGTCTGTGTTTCTCCAGATCGGCCAGTCACTTATGGGGTGGTATATTGGCTGTTCTTATTTCCCAGCCTGCACATTGAAAGGGACTGCGGTCTGGCTGTCCCCTTGGCAGCCTGCACATGGCGCTGATATGCAGGGAGGGCTTGCTTACTGGTGACATCTTGTTCTCTTCCTCCACAGTCCATGAGTGGAGCTCCAGAATTTTTATCTTGTTGCTTAATTGATTGAAAGCTGAGAACTCTATTCCCTACCTTCTTGCCTGAATTTCTTGGTCTGAATTTCAGCGGGACAATCTGATCTTGTCTGCCACTTTTCCCTGTATAATCTTGTTACAGTGGGACCACTTGTGGCTGTGAATAGAGTATGTTTGTATTTGCTTATGGTCTTTGGCATTCCAGGACTTCTCTCCTGTCCCTTGGTCACATCTTCACTGCTCAGTGCTTTCCATCAGATCTAGCTACTCCATGGACCCTGTTGGTTACTCTGCTTCTGAGACACAACTCTTTCTTGCACCTTTGTGCTCCTTCTTTGTGACCCTCCCACACAGCGTGGAATTCTATACTGTCATTGTTATACTTAGTAACACTATATTTGATACAGTATATTTGTTTTTACTCCAGTCCAGGTAAAAGCCACTTTTCTGTCTGTAGTTCCCCTCAAGCTGCTGCCTACATAGAGACAGCTGTGGAATAGATTAGCTGGTTGGGGTTTTTTTTCCCCTTGTTGTAGTAAGAGGAGTGCAGAATTAGGACTCTTGAAAGTCATTTTAGTGTCCTCCTGCTGAAGTCACCCTTATCACACATTTGCCAAGTCATTTAGCTTCTAATGTTGGGGTACTGTATCCGCCAAGAGATTGCCCATTTCAGTTACCAAAAACTTAATGATTTACATTGAACTAAAAATCTCTTCCACTTTCACTTCTAGTAACTGATTTGTTTTGCTTTGTTTTGTTTTGTTTGTTTTGTTTTGTTCTGTTCTGAGACTGAGTCTTGCTATGCAGTTCAGGCATATAGTTTAGGCTGGTCTCAAACTTGGAACAATCCTCCTGACTCAGCCTCCCAAGTGCTAGAGTTATAGGCATGTGTGTTTATACCTGGCAACCCACTGTTTCTACTTCGGTCTTGATGGTGGAATTTTTTTTTTCTAGATATAGTACTGTTTGAAGACCGTGTTCTTTCTGATTAATTTCTGCCAGTACCTTCTGAGATTTTTAACATTGTAAGCATTGATATACTTTTGTAACTATGCAATGGATCCAGCCTATTCCAAGTTCTTATGAACAGCAAGCAAAGTATTAGCACACATACACTCTGTGCTGAGGGTAAAGCACCTGCATTTATTGAAGATCCTGAACAAAGAAATGGTGCTGGGACTGCAGAAAAGGAACACTGCACACTGCACAGAGTTGTTTGGCTTTTGTGCTCAAGAACAAGAGAGAAGAACAAGGATAGCACGCACTTTCGTCTGGGGTTATATAAATGCTCCTAGCATTGGTGCCTGAGCTCAACTATGTGGATAGGGAGTGAATTCCTCGGCTTCCAGTTTGCTCTCTCTACTGCCTTTCTCCTGGTGATTTTTATACCAGGTGGAGGTAAAAGGCACACTATCCCGTGAATGTGTGTGTGTGTGGGTTTTTTTTTTTTTCTTGTCTTTTTAAGATAGGGTTTTGCTATGCATTTCAGGCTGGCCTTGTGCTCACTTTGAAGCCCAGACTGGAGTAGAATTTACAGTAATCTTTCTGCTGGGTTTACAGGTGTGCACCAACATGCCTTTTTTTGTTTGTTTGTTTTTAGGCAGGGTTTTACAATATCGTCCAGGCTTTAAATCTCCCATGCTGGGGATCGAACCGAGAAAGAACATATATATTGTTATTGTCTGGAAAAAACTTCCATCACATCAAGTTTGAATTAGAATTTTTATCTTGTTGGGTACCATAATGATACCCATAATCCCGGTACTGGAAGCTGAGGCAGGAGGATAGCTGCAAGTTCTAACTCAGGGCTTTGTGTATATTAGGCAAGTGTTCTACCACTATAGTGTATACCCTAGTCCCACAAGTTGGGGTAGGTTTCGTAGGTAAATTCCTGAATATAGTACTGTAGATGTGGTCTGATGACATTTAAAAGCAATAGAATACTACATTTTCAGTAAAATGTATTTAGAGACTGCACCTAAATTTTTTGAGTCTTTTTTATGTTTACCTTTCATCTATGATTCATCTCTTGTCCTTATTTGTTTGTGGATGTTTGAATATAATACATAGAACTTTACATTCAAATCTGTTATTTTTTAATGTAAGGCTTATGCCA